TCTTTTTTGGAGGCTACTATATGCCTCATCCTTTTCCTTGTTCATTCTGAGGCTATTTCAATTTTCAATTTTTCTGATTTTTTACAAATTAATGGTCTTCAATTTATTGTATGTTTGTAATAGACTAAATATATATAAGTACAAAAATACAATATTGCTGAGTTATGAATCTCACAAAACCATTGAATTGAGTGACATTGAAAGCTTAATTTTGACTTACTATAGTTACAACCTTTATCTCTTAGTGTGTAGCTGATAATGGATTCTTTCCTTTTGTATTCATCACTTGAATAATTAATTCATTGTTTATAGACAAAACAGATCTTCAAAATTTTTTAGTCTTTATTTTACAATTTTGTACATCTTCAAACTATGCTTTAACATTACTTTTATATTCAATCTCAGTTTTTAATGTTTTCACTTTTCTTTGCATATTAAACATGTTGTATCAGATTTTAATATAATCTGAAAATCTGAATTTGATCAATAAAAATTATAGCTGTAATAAAGTGTAGAGACTTATATTAAAAAAAAAGTAAATTATCTTTACTTTTCAAGAGAACATACATACAGTAGATGTTAATTTCAACTATATTAGATTCAACTTTTCTCTTATATTTATCATACTTATAGTAAAATAGACTATTCTAGATAGAATATTTGTAAAATGTATCATGTTCAGATAAAGTAAACTAGTTAATATTGAAAAATGATATAGTACCACAAATAAAGATTACATATTTTATAAGCTATTGAAAATTGTGAAATTTATCTATGCTTTTTTATGTAAGATGTAAGAAATTAAAAGAATATGTAAATTATCAAGATCAACATCTTTGTTTCATGTTACACAATTTGGTACTATTTCCAAATTTAATGTTAACAAAAATTTCTAGTTAAATAACCTATTACTTTTTTTAACTACAACTTGTCCAAAAATATTTTTTTTCATTAAATTAATATACTGATAAATAAGATGCTTCAACTATATTATTATTAAAACTAAAATGAATACGTTTTATAATGTGAAAAAATAATTAATAAAATTTTTAATAGAATTAAAAAAACTAGATAACAATTTACGCTAGATAATAATAATTGTTATAGTTTGCTAAATAATTTTTAAACGTTATCAATTAAAACTTCCCTTTTCAATCTATTGTTTTTTTATTTAATGTTAGTAGTTATAATAAAAAAGTATGGAACTACAAATGGTCAAATACTTTAGGCCTAAATAGGCTGTTATTTATTACATATATATAAAAGATAAATTTTGTAGACTTTTCTTAGAAAATGATTAATTTTAAAGAAGTGGTTTCAACAGCACACATAAAAATGGTTCTCAGTGATTGATACAATGTCTATGAATGATAAAAAGGAAATGTTATATTACATAATAAAATTATTGTATTAACTATATAAATATTTACATTTTTACAATTAGATAATTTTTTATTAATGGTATGGGATTAAATTTTATGCACTTGTAATGTTTTTAATATGTTAAGTTAGGTTATATTCTTTATTTACTTCAGTATTTCTCACATAATTATGTAAATTATAAATTTAAATAATAATTTGGTTTCTTATTCATTATTAAAAAAACTTAAATTATTTGATATATTTATTATGTTTAATTACATTCATGCAAATATTAATGTATATTGCATAATAGTTATATGATTAAAAAATGTATTTAAAATAATGTAGATTCCAATATTTTATTTCCATTATGCTCTAAATTTATATATAACTTAGCCGATACTTATAAAAAAAATAATGAAATTCCTATGTTACTATTTTTCCTTATATTTAATCTCAAGTATGATAAAATATAGAAATAGTGTTTTTGTTTATGGCAAAAAATATTTATCTATATAGAAAAAGAAAATCATGGTGGTCATTAATTATTAGAGATTTATAAATGTATGTAAAAAAAATATAAAATAGTATTGAAATGCAATAATTATTAAAGAGTTATATGTAATACAATATCAAAATTATATTATACATTTTAAAATTGAATTAAATAATTGCATATCAATTTTAGTAAAAATAAGATAAAGAAATTAAAATTTTCAAAGATCATTAATATTTTTTATTAATCCTTTCCAAATGTAGACAACTTTTTACTTTTAAACTTTTATTTCGCAAGTTTGTTTATTCGAGAAATGAAATATGAATGTAAGATTACTTTATAAATATAAAAACATAATTTAAATTATTATTAATAATAATGGATAAACTGTAATATTTATTAATATGATTAACTTAAAAAAGAATTACTTCAGCTTCAGTACAATAGATAAAACTGAGTTTATATTGTTTAACCAGTATAGATTTCACCTATGAATATATATAATAATATATCCAGTGTATACATATTAAAAAATATATTAATTGTGAATGAAAATATTTTATAATTAATACCATATTTTACCATGGTTTATTATAATATCATTTATTATCTGTATTCATTACATAATAGAATTATAATAATACTTTGTATTATATTCTTTGTATTACTCTTTTTTTTCACGTATATAGAATATTTTATTAAACTATAAGTAATGGATATACTTGCATTTATTGCAAATAAAAATTTCATTTTTCTTATCACTAATTATGTATATCATATTATTATTCTATTATTCAATGATTATATTCTATCTTATTATTATATATTATTTAGATATGAAAAATTGAATATTGCTAATTATTAAAATTAATTTTGATTGAAAGATTTGCCAGTTATATAAGTTGTAATTTTTTGGCTATATTAAAATGCAAATCGAAAAATGAATCAAATATATTATAATACATAACCTATTATTATTTCTAGATGTTATTTTATATGTTATTTTGTTTGACTATGATAATATTTTGTATATGAAAACAAATTTTTTAACTTTATATTATAATTATATTTGATATTATATTATTAATGCGCAATAAAGAAAAACTGAGAAAGTTTAGTCTATAAATATTACAAAGTATGTTTGAATTATTTTGATGATTTAGCTAACATTTTTTATGTTCTAAAGGATAATTGACATGTAATATTGGGTAAAGTGTACATATTTTTACTAACATTCTATTTAGCTCTTTACGGGGGATATGTATAATACACCCAGCAACATTATGGTCATTTAGTAAATAGTTTCCTAATGAATATATATATATATATATATATATAAGTGTGTAATTCTGTAAATATATAAAATTTGAATCTTAAAAGAAAGTTATTTTATTTTCAATGTCATAGAATCTTCTGTGAAACTAATATCGTAACAAAAATATAAATAACAATTATTTTATTATATTTACTAATAATGAACAAAATTCGAATATTTTAGAAAAATATAAAGTTGTTAAAGCTTAGAAAACTGCCATTGTGAGAAGGGACTGTTAGTGGATCATATAAGTCCTTTGTACGTCTCAATATGTTAAATATTTTAAGTAATTATAATTTGATTATACTTATATGCTTATTTGATCATAACACGATTATCAATTGAAGCCTATGGAAATCCTCTAATACAGAAATATAGAATTTATTAAGTTATTAAATAGGAAAAATTATATTTTTTAACTAATAAAAACTCATTGATTAAACTATCTTATGTACAATATGGTTTATTTGTATTTATATAAATAATATATAAAGGTTCTACAGATGCTTTTAATGAATACATAAAGTTCATTTTATATTTTTTTAAAATATTCTACATAAATATATATTATTTTATTTTGTTATTATATCGTTGTTCAATTATTATTATATAGTTCTTTAATTTTCTATTTTTATATTTTGTATTAATTACGTTACTTATTTAAAAAACATAGATTTATGACATTTATGATTTTCATTTTGTGAACAGTTATACATATAAAAATAAATAGTTTAATTATAAATATCATCAACTATGACTTAAAAGAAATAATTTTATTAAAAATTATTAATGCTTATTCATTATAAGAATTGATTACAAAAGTTTTTATTGAATATTATTAAACATGATATATAACATAAAGCAGAATTTTAATAAAAATAAGGTATGGTTACGATTTAAATAATTTTATCTGAACTATATTTATCACTAAGAAAGTAAGTTTTAAGAAACAAAAAAAAATTATACTTATTATAATGAACATTTTATGGACCATCCACATTTGTTGTGCGCGCTAATTTATTGTTTGCATGTTTTTAAAGACGATCTATGAATAATGTATTACAAAATGATTTTTGTTATATATTAAAAAGGTTTCTAATATATCCCAGATAAAAGCTTAAGAGGCATAAATCAATTTTCTAGTTTTCATCGAGAAAAAAACTAAATAATCTAATATTTTACATCTTCTATAAATGTATTTACTTTCCCGTTTATCAAATTTACTCATCCATTCTCTCTCTCTCTCTCTCTCTCTCTATTGTTTAGCTCACTTGTTACATTAAATGAACAAAACCAACACAAGCATTATCGAAAGCGATATTGTCAATTCAATATTTCTTTCAAAGCAAATGTTATATTCCGATTGATAAAATGATTATTACACTATTACACTTTTAACATTTTTTTTTACAAGTATCAAACAACATTTTTCATCATTGAATGATAAACGAAAGTATGTATTTATTTTCATTGATATGAGTAGTCACACATTTTCAGATAAAAAAAAATTTCCATTCTTGTATCCGAAAGCCTCCGATTGTCTCCGAACGTCACCGAGGCTTACCCCCAAAACGGTAAAGTATACGCTTTACTCCCTTCCAGGGTGTGTCGCCTTCCGTCTCTGTATCACTTGGTAGATACCCGGAACGAGAATCGGCAATGGGGTGGGGTGCAAGAACTGGGGCGCGCACCCGCGGTTACCAGTGCTGGTGGAGTGTAAGTGGCGGCAGCAATAGCGAGCTCTGGGCACAGTGTGAATGTGAACTTGTCGAAGGGGGAAGGGAGGGAAGGCGCCAAATTCATTTGGAAATCGAAGCGCAGCGCAATGCTGGAGTTGAGACCGTTTTGTGACTCTGTGATTTGTGTCTTCCTGAGTGCAGGTGTTAGTGAACCGCACGTGTGTGAGCGTTAAAAGCAGTAACAGCAGCAGTGGCGACGGAGACTATTACGAAAGCCAAATACGGAGTCAGGTCATGGTCTGATTTGCTAGGACGGGTACATTCATGAACTTCTACTACCCTGACTCGTCAAGTGAGTACCGACTCACTTGGTCTGGTGGCTTTTGAATTTCTAATCGCTTGAGCGACGCTAAGTCGAAGGTCGTTTTTTCTTCGAATGATAATATTTTTATTTGAGCTTTTTTGTTTACTTTTCTCTAGCTCGCTCTCGAATTCTCGCTTCATTGATACACTTTCTCGTATATCGATCGTTTCTAGCTTTTTAGATTATTGAAAAATGCGTAGTCAGTTAATAATTGATGCCGAATACTTTCCTTTGCCTTTCTTTCTCATTTGCTCCTCCCTTCTTCGTTCCTATTTTTTTCCTCTCTTACATGTAAAATATTTTCATTTGAATAAAATGGTGGGAATATAATGGGTGCATAGATCGACTCAACTAAATATGTATATTAAATGATTCGTATGTGAAAAATCGAATCTTATATGGATAAATATAATTTTTGAAAAACGTTGTACCTCTATCTTTAAAAATGAATGAAGTTAAAATTCCATATAAATATTTTTTTGTATAATTACAAAAAAATTTGAATAAAAATATTATGGTTCTGATACATATCTACAATAGTTCTGATACACCGAAAGAATGAGCTTTGATAAATTTAAGATATACTATCATTCTTTTATTAAATTAACAAAAATAATTTTCCGAATTATAATATTCTTCATTATTATTTCCATTAACTAAATTTCATCATTTAAATAAATATATTAAAGAATGAATATATTTGTTTTTACATCTTTAAGCAATAATATAATTTTACAGCTCAATGTATAAACTCTTTGAAATATCAAATTGACTGTTTCAAAAATCAAGTAAAACAAATATTTTTTCCATTTTCATTAAGTCATATTTCTATTAGTGTTAAGATTCATTTAAACATTGCAATACATTATATATAATTGACCTTGATAGTAAAATTTAATATAATTATTAATTGCAAATGAAAACAAAAAAATTAAAGCAATAAAAGAATTCTATTCATTAAATCAACATAATAAAATTAATTAAATGTAAATTCAGTTTGATATAAATTAAGTTAATATTTTAATAAAATATTGATACTTTGATTTTGTAGTTATCTAAATTTTTTAAATTCCATTTTAGAGATTCATAGACATCATAAACAAATAAGGTAACAATGTAATAGATAATTTTTAATTTTATTTTGAAAATCAATGTTAATTATATTTTACTATCTCATTTTTAAAAATAAATTTAATTAAAATTTGATGCGCAGTTAAATTAGTAAAACATAAAAACATTAGTATCTCTTTTTATTAGTATTTTTACTACACTAAAAATAACGAATATTGCACATAATTTAAAAATCATGGCATGAATATAAAAAACAATCAAAATGAAATAAATTAATTCAATTTTTTAATATCTTATTAATAATCAGTTTTAATATACTTATTTACATAATATAGCACACAAAGTAATATATAAACATAAAATGTAATATTTAAATCATTGAATTGAATTATAAATGTTTTAAAAATTTTAATTTTTCTTGAAATTCCAATGTTAAAAATTTCCATTTCATCTGTGTATAATGTATTTATTAATAAAATAAAATAAACATCGATTTTATAGAAGATATTTGCTTGTTTGGAGAATTAAATTTTATTCATTCAATAATGTTCGATATTCTTTATAAAGTTATTCTTATTAATTGTAGGATTCCGAAAAGGAACGAAAACAAAGAAGATATATTCATTTTGATGTAAATTTTTCTTCTTTTGTTTTAATTATTTCCTAGTTGTCTATTTTAATTATTTTAATTTTATCTAATTTTATAAACATAATATAAAGATAATTATAAATATTGTTAGGCCATAGTATTATGTGAATGTAAATATATATTATCTTGATTTGGAATTTATGTTGATAATCCTTATTAGCAATATTTTCATAGAACAAATATTCATTAATAACATATTAGTACAAAAATGTTTACTATTTGAAAAAATGTTATACTTTATCTGAAAATATAAATTATATGCTTAGTAAAATCGCCATATTAAATTAAACCTCTTTAAATAGCTGTGAATGATCTAAATAAATTGTTAAACAACATTGTGTAAGTAAAAATTTTTTTTGTATAAAGTAATGAATATTATTCAAAAAAGTGTATATTTGTTATATTATATTGTTATATTATATATTGTATATTTTACATAAAAATTCGTCTGATCTAAGATATTATTTTACTAGATATTTAAGTATTTCAAACAGCTAATTGGTACATCCACAAATTATATTTTATATTGTATTATATCTTTAATATTAATATATATATCTATATTATGAGTTATGAAATAAACAATTTTTTATTAAATTTTTATGTGCTTCAATGTTTGATTTAATATTTACATATTTCATTATAAACACATTTATATTAAATATTTAAATGTAAATATTTTAATTTATTATAGTAGATCATTATAATATTATTTTCTGAGGATTGTTCATAAAATTTACACGTAAATATTAGATGATTTACCAAAATAGTAAAAAAAATATAAAGTATAATAGAATCATATAAAATTATATTTATAATCTTTTTATAATTTATATAATAATTCTATTTATAATACCATGCAATATTATTGTGCAGTTTTAGAATAGAGTTGTGAATATTTACCAGTGTATGAGTTCCAGTATGAGTTGAAAATACGGAAATTATGTATACTTATTTTTGTATAAACGCTATTTTTATCTAATTAAATATAAACTTTATGAATTTATATTTTTGAAGATCAAAATATTTAAAAATATTTTTAAAATATGGATTTATAATGTATAGAACTCAATCAACTATTGATTCATTATATCGATTCATTATATACAAACTAAACACAAGCTTATTCACTGCAATGTTTTCCTTTTTTTTACACAATATTTTCAAAAAATGGTTATGTAATTATTTTCGATTTTTCCTATAAGTATTTAATTTGTAATTGATATAAATATATGTATTTTTCTAAACACTATAAATATGTGATTGATTCATGTTATTGTATATTATATAATTTATATTTTGTATATTATTTTGCATATTTGAAACTTTGAACATAAAAATATTTATATATGCTATCAACTATTTAATTGTTAATTGAAAAAAAACTTTTTCAAGAAAAAGTTATAAATATGATAATAAAAGAAAATCGTTTCTTCGATTTCAAACAAAAATTACTTCTAAAAAAATATAGTTTTTTCTATAAATCCTTCAAATAGGAATGTAATTAAAAATGTGTAATTAATTAGAATCCGTGAATGAAATATTGAATTTAAAGTTAGAAAAAATGGATACCCAGCTTTTACTTTAGACAATTTATAATTTCAATGTCATTCCTCCTTTGTTATTATCCATATGATATTACTATATAATTTTTAATTGTAGAAATTATTTATTTAATTTTTCACTAATATACATACATTTAATTGATTATTAAAGTTAGTAACATTCCAGTATTGCCTTAAAATAACTTTCTTAAACTTTGTATAAATATACATTGACAAAAATAAAATAAAAATTTCGGTTATATTTATGAATTCACTTTTATTTTAATTGTTCACTTTATGTCGAGGATTTAAATTTATTTAGTTAATTACTCAATATTTGTTTGATTAGTAGTAGTAATAATGACAAAATAATGAAATGAAAAAAGAAAGGTTTTTAAATTATTACTAATGAATAAAATATTTAAAATATATTTTAAATATAAATTATATAATTATAAAAATCTTTGGTCATATTAAAAAAATAATTAATAAAACGTTTAGACTTGTCATCGATACTTTTTCTGAGTGCAAATATGTGTTATTATTTTGTATTATATAAATATGTTTTTTTTATAACTTGCTAAATATATTTATATTATATATTACAAAAAAATATACATCTATGAAATATAAAATATCTTTCTTTTAAAAATAAAAGTTCTTATGAAATATAAAATACATTTGTATACTATTAATGCTTTTCCCTTCATTTTTTTTTTAATAACTAAAGAATTATAATTACATTATGTATATATAAAATTAATAAAAATTTCAAAAATTAGTCAAAACTGAAATATTGTCCATGAAATATCTATCATTATTTAAGGTAAGTTTATAGACTATGCAATCAGTGTTTCTTGGTAATTTAAATTAAACTTTTTTTTTTCAATAAATTGTTCAAATGTATTCAAGAGTGTTAATGTAAAAATTAGTTTTACTGCTAAAGTTTAAATGAAATAAATCATAAATATATTTCCATTCTTGTATATTAATATTTCAAACTAAAATAGTGTAATCATATTTAATAGATTAAAAAATATTAAGGCATGATAATATCCTTTGAACCGAATGAATTTGATGTTTTTATTCTGTACAATTGCTATATTAAACTTATTTTAGAATTTGATTTATTTTTATTAAGTGATAGTATCTATTTACATATACATTATAAAGATGTACTATTGCTGTTATTTAAACTGTTTAAAATGAAATATAATAACTCGAACCAGTACAAAAAATAAAAATGAATAAAATTAATATTAACTTTTTATCTTTTAAATAGTAAACTATAATTAATACCGTCATTAATTCAATTACTTATTTTGTTTTTAGTGGATATGTGGTGCTGATCGAACTGATGGAATGGGGCCAGAGTCCTATGGAGTTCGGGTAGTCCCGTCTCCAACCCAACTCACCAGACCTCTTCAAGATCGTTATCATCACTGCACCTGTGAGAGACATAGAAGATCCTCTCTCAGACGATGGAGGCCTCTAGTGCTCAACGATATAAGGAAAAAGAGTCAAGAGTACACAGGCCTTGTGTTTTCGACAAGGTATACGAATATGTAATACGGATGTACTGAAATCATGTATCACTGTATTGAAATCATATTTCTTGTCTAGAAAATTATGAAATTGATGTTTAATATTTTCAATTAATATTAAAAAATGTAATCATTTTTTTTTTTAATTTTTATTTATGTTTTTATTAAAAATGATACAATATATTATATCTGTATTTTTATAAATATTTATGTAATGATTCTTCTTAATGACAATTATTGGACAATAGATGGAGGGGCTGGTGCGGGAGATGCAAGATTCTGAAAATGGAGTACCTGTACGTAGCCAAAAATTATTTCTTACTTCAATCCCTTCAGCATTTATGGGTGGGTGTCATGGATATTGAATTGTGGCATAGATAAATAGTCAATAAGACCAAGGCATTGTAATAATCTCTCTTTATGTTCCAGGTTACGATCTCATCGAGTGGTTGATGGAGCGGCTCAATATTGAAGAATCAGGTACAGAATCTACTCATGTATGAAGGAGAATGCTTCCATTTACGTGTTATCTGAACTATTAAAGTATGCTCTTTCTTGATCTTATTTTTATTCAGTAACTTTATATTTTATCATATTTATTTTATAATTATAAAATCTATAAATCACTTTATTTGAAGACAATATTTTGTTCTTTTATATCAATCACTCTAATTAGTTATTTAAAATAAGTTTTAATCAATTTAATCAAATGATATTATTACTTATATCACAATTTAATTGAAAATCTATTTCTGTTGCCATGCTAAAATTAAACAAGGTATGAAAAGGCTAAATATATTAATTGATGGCTATTTATAAATAATAGCAATTTTATACATAAATGTATAAATAATATAATATATAAATAATTGAAATCAAGAAATAAAATGAATTTTTAAAGATAGCACACTGTTTTAGTGTATAAATCATATTTGATATATATTTACAGTATTGTACTTCAGTACATCTATCCTCATTCTTAATTCATGCTTTGAAAAACACGATTATGTTGATAGTGGAGGCTGTCCATATTGCTAATCAACTTTGCCAGTATGGTTACTTCTTCCCAGTGAATGACTCCAGAACTCTTACTGTAAAAGATGACAGCTCTCTTTATAGATTTCAGGTACTTTTTGACATTGCTTATCATTATTTTTAGTTCAATTAGTAATATCTTTGTTTAAGTTAATTCTATAACTATTAGTTTTTTTATGATTACAATGTGATATTACTTTTATTACTAATTTTGTTTCATTGTACCATTAATTTATTTGTCACAAATTATCCCTACATAATTAATAAAAATTATATTATTGATTTTCATTAAGATATTGTTATTAAAATAATGTATCATTTTTATATATATATATTATAATATATACAAAAATATAAATTTTTTTAAAATGTAGACACCATATTATTGGCCATGGCAACATCGAACACCTGATAATGTAGAATATGCAATTTATTTGGCTAAGCGTACTTTAAGAAACAAACAACGCCATGGCCTCGAAGAATATGAAATTGTACGTTGACACTTAATAATCAATCATATATAACTTATATATTTTTGTTGACAATAGTTTTTACACAATACAATTTTTTAGGAGGCTTTAAATAGTTTAAAAAGAAATTTACAAAATAAATGGGACATCATTCAATTGCAAGCAGAGGAACAGGTGAATAATTCTTTGAAATTGGCTTTGATAGATTTTTAATTTATTTTGCAACTTCTTCATAAATACTTAATTAATTAAAATGATACGGTTTTTTAAAATTCAGATACGATTATCCAAGGAGCGTAAAAAGGGTGATAAAATCGTTTGTGATTCTCAAGAAAGGGCATTCTGGAGAGTATATAGACCTCCACCAGGATGTATGAGTAGTCTTGAAGTAGTACCGGTACCAGCAAGGGCACGACTTGGTTTACCTCGTGCCCCGCCTCGAAAGCGTACTCTTAACGATCTACAGCGCGAGGTGAGTGAAGAGCGACCAATATATTAAGAATCAAATTGTTATTTGTTTATATTATTATTTATTTAAGTTGAAATTTCTTAATATTTATTACAAGATAGTTTGAAAAAAAATTTTTTAAAGTAATTATTGTTTATCACAAACTTAATCTTATCATGGATATTTAAATATTTCGTTTAATTTATATTTTAAATTTCTTAAAGTAAATAAAATTTAAAGATTTATGTGTTATTAAATAAAAAATAGCAACGAAACTGTAATTATATATAAAAATATTATATAAAATGGCTTAATATTAATTTTATTTATACTATAATTTTAAATGATATAATAACAATTATATAAGTTAAATACAATAATATTTGCCAAGGCAGGTATTAAGTTTCTAAATAAAATTATTTTATAATGCTGTGGAGAGCTCTTTAATACTGTATTACATTGAAAAACTGATTGTTGATAGCACACAAATATATTGAAGCAACATAAAATGAATGTGAAATAATAATATATAGTTATATAATATATTAATTACTTACAATTGTATAATATAATGACTTATAATAAATTATTAAAAGTTATTTATGAACGTTAATTGCATATTAAATGTAAAATATTTTATTTCAATAATAATTTGATAATTTGAATATTTATAGTTAAAATTTTATTTATTTAATGGTAATTCATCATAATTCTGGAAATGAAAAGAATTTTTTATATATCAATCAATAGTTTAAATGATGCAATTGGAAGATAATTTGAAAATTATTATAAGATATATAAATATAATTCAATTTTTATTTTAAAAAAATGTTTTTGTTTTATTTATAAGAAAATATTGTTGTACATATTACCAAACCATAATTATATATTAATTTTGTATAATTTTTGCACTATAATTTATTTCATGTGCTTATTTTAATTTGATCTACATTTTTTTATTTGTTGTAAAGTTAATAGACTCTATTTTTTCTATTAAGATGGATAATTGAATAACATGAATATTCCTGGAGTTTTAATATCTAATAGTGTTTGGAATTCCAGTCACCAGGATGGTCAGAAGACCAAGGTGGTTGGATTAGACCGTACCACCGGTTTAATGGCGAAAAAAGGGGGGGGGGATGAGTGAGAGGTTAATGCATCAATTCAGTATAAACACAATCAGTTTTAGTGACTTTTATTTAAGGTTATGTTACATTGGTAGTTGTTTTTACCGATTATTGTGAAATTGTTGAGCTCGTCGTGATTCTGACAGTTGGCAATAAAAACTGTAGAACGTCGTCCGGGAGTGCAAAGTAAGACTGGTCTGGTTGTACTGGGCACGCTTTATTGTACTACCGAAACGTAACAGCGACCTTTACAGAGGAGAAAATCGCAAGAGTTGCGAAGTCATGAGCGCTCTCATCGGTGATCTTTGCAGGGGAGAGAGTCGCAAGAGTTGCGAAGTCATGAGCCCTCTCATCGGCGATATTTGCAGGGGAGAGAATCGCGAGAGTCCGGGAGACCATGGGAGCTCTCATCGGCGATGTGGTAAGAATCAAGTTGCAGAGACCTGACCGATAATACCGGCGCAATGCCGCAATGAAATGAAATCTAACAGTATTGGCGCCCTCTTCCGCGGTCTGATAAGAATCAAGGTGCAGAGGCCTGACCGATAATGCCGGCGCAATGCTGTAATGAATAATAAATAATGTAAACAAATAAGTATACCTTGCTCGGATTCCCGTAGCAAACGAGTAGAACTTTTAACTGTTGTGACTTGCACTATTGCACTTTGACTTACTCAACAAGACTGATTTGCTTCGACTTGCACCGATCTTTATATACAATTTTGGAGATTTAGTGTCTAGCACTAATACCTTTGGTGTTACAGTGTCCGAGCTTTCTCGCGTGTCTCTAGAGTTTCAATTCTAGAAAAGTAAGCTCTGGCCGGCTCGAGGCTTTTGCGTAGTTGCTACGCGGATATATTTCAGGACTTTCTTAGGCAAAGGCTTTAACGTTTACCGAGAATTTTCGTAGCGAATTTTTCTAATATTGCGAATTATAATGACTTTAAATTTCATGGAATAAAATTTTATTGTTGGGTGCGTCAATCCTGAACAAATAATAATTATAGATTTCTAATACAATACTGATTTTTCAGGTTTAATCAATGTTGTCACTTAATTATTACTAAATGAATATATTGTATAAGTATTTCACGTAAAAGAATAATTATTTGTTATTACAATTTTAATAAACTATAGCCTTTGTATTTATTATTTAATAGGTAGATCTTTTGCGGAATAATATTACACGTACAAGAATAAAAGCTTCGGTTGCTATTGAAAATCTCCAAACGCATTTTGACACATACATAGAATATGATCCAATGATGACACAGCCTCAACCTTCTAATCCATGGATTACAGATGATCAAACATTTTGGCAGCTCAATAGTTCCTTGTCAGTATACATTTTATATTCTATAGTGGTAGTATTATAGTATAAATTTCTTTGACTGAATCATTGGATACACTTCCAGGGTTGAAATTCCTATAGACAAGCGTGTTAAAAGGTGGGGAATATCAATGGAAGAATTAATGTCGGATCCAACAGGTTTACATTAACTTTAAAATGCTTTTTATAGTTTCATAAATAATTAGAGTAAATAAAAACTTATTTATTATTTAGGCCTGCAAGAGTTTACTAATTACTTACGTAAGGAGTATAGTCATGAAAATATAAGATTTTGGTTGGCAGTAAAGGATTTGAGACAGAGTTATCAATTAAAAATAAATGATAAAGTTATTGAAATTTTCAGGTGAATATATTTTGCAGTAATAGAAACTTTTTTATAATATAATTTTAGTTAGTTGATAATATAACTGTTAAGTTATATAATATATAATTTATTGATTGCAGAGAATTTTTGGCACCTGGAGCTCCTTGTGAAATTAATATAGATGGTAAAACAATGGAAAAAGTTCATCAAGAAATGAATTATCCAACCAGGTTTACATTTGATGCTGCTGCTGAACACGTGTACACTTTACTTCTAAAGAAAGATTGTTATCCTAGATTTATTCGTTCTGATCATTATCGAAATCTTTTAGCTGCCGGTGTGCAGCCTTTACAAAAAAAAAGGTATAATTATATCAATTACAACAATTTAATCATGCATTTATAATATGCAAATTATTAAATTTATTAAAAATCTTTATATTATATGAGTATGCATTGGGATTTTTTAGAAATATTATTTTACATTATATATAGATCAATTATTTCGCAATTAAATTTAATACTTTTAACTTTCATGAAATAAATATTCACAGTATTCGCAAAACTTTCACATTTTATAAATAAATTCAACTGTAAGTGATACTTATTTTTCCATAAATAAAATTATTTGTTATTTTAAGCCTTTTTTATTTATTTGATAAAAGTAAAATTAGTGAATGGAAATAAAAAAATATATATTTTATATATGAGATATTCAAGATTCTATATTTATCCTGCTTAAAAGATAAAAGTGACCTCAGATTTATCTGCAACAATACATAAGAATTTTTAACAAATTAAATATCTTATTAAAGCTTGGGATCATATAAAATAAGCCTCAAATTATTTCAAACACATTCTTTATTCCTTTTAAATAAATGTATATTTACATTAATTAGATTTAAAATAAAGTTTTGTTAACCTTTCTGAAATTTAACAGATTTCTTAAAATAAATAATAAATGTTCGATATTAAAAAAAAAATAGAAACAATGATGGAATCAAGTTTTATGTAATAACAATTGTTATTTCTGGATAAACTAAGATTCTTTGGATTCGTTGGCCAAGGAAAGAAAAAAATTTCTTCGAGTATAATAACTATCCCTGGGGGGCTATCACAGCAGCAACAGCAACTTCAATACCAGCGACGAAGAGGCAGTGACCGAAGTTTGTCAGGCTCAGCTCATGAGTTGGCCATGTGCGGTGTAAGAGATTCTGCTGTGAGACACCAAGTGCCCCATTCTCATAGTCAGTCAAATTTAACCGATATTCCATACAGGTATGGTTATTCTGTTCTTCTGTATTTTATTAGCACCTCTATTTGTGTAAAATCGAGAAAGGTCATCAACGGTATACAATACTGATATCATTGTTCTAAATTAACATGGACAAAAATTGGTTATCGAAATTTTTTTTTTTAATAAAAGCAATCTTGAAGCTGGAAAAATGTTTATAACGTTAATAATCTGATCATTAACAATTTAATAAATTAGTAAGAAAGTTGGTATATTATTTTAAAATTTGCTATTTTTACACAATACTTTTTAATATTATTTAGTTTTGTAATTTATGAAGTAATTGAAATATGAAATATAAATATTTAATTTTATTAATTATATATGGTAATATAAAATTGAACTTTACCTTGAATGGAAAATATACAATTGTAAATACCATAAAAAATGTTTTGTAACCTAAATATATTTTAATTTGCAGTAAATTTCTTAAATATACGAATTAATTTAATAATTAATTAAAAACAATTAATATAAGCTTTTTAAAATATATTAATTTAATTTAATAAAGTGTTGAAAATATAAATTCTTAAAATTATTTTGTAAAAAATAAATATAGATTTTTTGATGATTAACAATAATAAATTTTTCTAACTATTAATAAAGTATTATGAGTAAAGTTCAAATAATTTTTTAAACCATTATTTACAAAATTTTTTCGAATAAACTAATATAATAAAGTATTGAAATACAAAGTATTAATTGTAAAAACCTGGTCAACTACAATTTGTTTGAACAAATTTGCTAAGTATCTAAGTTATATATGAGTAAAAGAACAAATTACACAGAATTTAATGTGCTATAACAAGTACGTTTTTTATTCATTAAATATTTTCAGGGGAGATCTGGATTTTAAGATTCTTTCACGGCCTAGTCCAATAAATATTCAGTAAGTCGACAGAGTTGCACAGAATTTTCAAATTGTCACCAATAATCATTTTCTATTGATTCTGTATATATTTTTATATATCGTTATCATATATCATTGCCTATTGATTATCTATATATTTTTTGTCTATTTGTCTCTTTCTGTTTTTCTTCTTACCTTTTTAATTCGTTCTATTACACTATTTAATTTATACTTCTTTCCTACTCTCTACCTATCAGGCATTTATAGAATTCTATTGCGTGTACATAATTCGTTTAATATTCTGAATATTTTGCTGTAAAGAAAGTATTTTAACTTTTATAATCTATATAATAAATTATCCGCTTAATAAAGATTCTTATTAATGTTGAACAGTATTGCAATAAAGCTTATACATTTTGTATATACATTATATAATATTGGTCCTGCTACAAATTTTCTTTTACTAGGTATAATGCTTATTAGATTTAAATTTAAATGAATAATTTTCACGATTAACGCGTTTGTCGTAGTATTATTCTAATAAGACCTAAAATTTGAATAATTAAATTATCAAAAATATAATTTGATTAGATATAAATACATCTTATGTATAGTTTTTATAGATTTAAAAAATTTTTATTAATGTATATTTCAGACGTGTATTGATACAAATATTATATTATTAAAATTATTCTTAATGATAATAAGTAGTTGCTCTTGTTTAAACAATTATTGTTAATAAAGTTTTCAATATTAATATTCTGATTGAAATATGAAAATGTTTATAATAAATTTCTTTAACTTTATATTTCGTTAATTTTTAATTTACAATGTTTACATCTAGATGTGTTTGGAATTCCAGCCACCTGTATGATCGCAGATCACGGTGGGTGCATTAGACCGTACCGCCGGTTTAATGGCGTTGGGGGGGGGGGGGTTAATGCATTAACTCAGAGTAAATACAATTGGTTTTAGTGACCTTTATTTAAGTAGTTGTTACAGTATTGTAGGTTTTCTTTATTGTGGTGAGAATTGGAATGTAGTGACTAGGCAGCTGATTATTAAGTCGAAACATCGTCTGGGAGTGCAAGCTTTGTAAGGTAATAATTTCAGGTCTTATTTTATAGTCACGTATCGTGTGAGTCGCGCTTAAATCACATTGGACATTAGTTGGCTCGTGGAGCTTCGACGCTTACGACAATACTCGAATAGTACCAGGCGAATTTAGGCTCGCGAATGATTAGGTGCTTGACTCGGCGTGAGAATTGACTGAGTAATATTCGGCTCGTGCCGGTGGTGGGGATTATTACGAATAGTTGTCGCCCTCTTTTGTGGTTTGATCAGAACCAATTTATTGTGGTGTGACCGGTAATGTCTCGCAGTACTAATTTTAGACTTAGGCAGGGGTCTACTGTCAGAATCGGCGCCCTTTCTTGCGGTATGTTATGGACTCATGTCAGAGGGCTTTGTTGATACGTTAGATGTGGGTTGCGTTCTTTTCGGACAGCGTGATCGGTAAGATCTCGCCCTGCTAACGAGTATTAGACCGGGCTCTATCAATAAATATGATAGACGTAGGCCGGGATGCGGTCACGAGAAATAGGCGAGGATTTACGACAAGTGTGAATAATATTGATAGCTGGCCAGGAATAACAATAATAATATACCTTGCAGGGATTCCTTCAGACGAGTTCGACTTTCACAGATATTACTGACACTAGTTTCACTTGAGTAATTCAACAAGACTGTTTTCTTCTCCGTTCGTTGCTTTTTAAATACGATTGCGTATATTTGGTGTTATGAATTCTTGGAGGCTTTAGTGAATTCTCTGGAAATAAGCTTTGACAACTTCGAGAAGCTTCCTTTGTTGCTATGCGGACAAAGTGCGCGGCTAAATTTCCAGTGAATTTTTGTAACGTATAATTCGAATATTGCGCCTTAATCTAAATGTGATATATCGGAATCGTATTTTAACAAACAATAAATTCTTATTTTTTGTTGGGTGGTTCAATCCTGAACAAGATGTATAATGAAAAAGTTTAAATATATGTAAAGTAATGTTAAAATATTAAAAATGAAGATAAAAAATAACTATAAACAAATTATTTAATAATATACTTTTTTATAGTTTATGTGCATCAAAAGTGTTATATTCTGAATAATGTTTGCTGTGTACAATTTTTTAATCGTTTAACATAAATTTTAGGTGTCGTTATAAATATATATATTTTCTATATTTAAATTTATTCAAATATTATTTATTTTGGACAGCATTTTTTTAAGAAATATGTTTTATGTAATATACATTTCTAAGGTATCTAAGACAAATCGTAAAAGTCGAATGGATCTTAGGTATACGACAATAATAATGTGATTATAAAACAAAACGAGATTTCATAAAAATAAAATAATTAAATTATATTAATCGATGTAGAGAGAGTGAAGTAGGCAGGAAAGTTCGAGTCATAAGATCTGGAGCGTTGCTCTCTAAACTCAATCGTATAATTAAGTTTATGTTGTCAGGGATGTTGGTACACTGGAAGCAGCAATTCGCCATATGGACGATGTGTGTCCATGGGATGCAGCCCCCGCAGATGCATTGATCGTGCAGACGTCATCGGATGAAACAGCCTTTTCAGATTCCCTCGGGCATTTCACGTCTGCAACTCAAGGTGACCAGCAAAACAAGATGCAGTCATCGTTTACAAATTCCTCACAGCTGGATTTACGCTCTTCTTCATCTGATGTAAGCATTGCTATAGCAGAAGTCTCAGAGACATTGCGCAAGACAAGTGGAATTAGTGAATACCGAAGCCATCAGCATATGCATGATAATCATCATCATTTGCAACGGCAGGAAATCAGCGGTAGCAGTTCTGCTCCCATACAACGTAATTACTCAGTTAGCGCAACTCATACAAGCGTTAAAAGTGCTAAAATCAAGCTTACTGAGGCGACAAGGACTACTGTCTCTACGTACAATTTTCCTTCACCCCAGCATTCCTTTGATCTATCATATATTGCTCTCGTTCCAGCAGAAATATTCTGCGACCGTCAGCAGCTTCAGCACGAGTCTTCGAGTGTCAATGAACTACCACATATGCACTCTTTTACTATCGTACCCGATGAAATTGAACAAGATCAAACTAGGTGAGCTTCCGCATTTAGATTTTTAATTTTATTGAATGAGTATTACATCTAATGCTGCTGTTACTACTTGATAATTCTACTCCCAACGTTAATTGACTTTTATTTAATTTTTCAAAACATGTTAAAGGATAATTATTTATTTTATTAAATATTTATAAAAAATTTAGTTAAAGCATAATATTTTTATTTTATAATTGATTCAATTATTTATAAAATTTATAAACAATTTGTATTATTTCAAATGATTAAGGAATCAAAATATGTGTGTGAAAGTACATTGTATAGCTTCCATGAAAATTAATTTAATTGATTTTAATTAATGAAAAATTTTAATTTTACAAAAACCTTTATTTTATAATGTAGCATACCAAATAAATCTTTTGTAGTATCATTATAAATTTAAAAAGTACTGGGCTACTAACTTTTTTTGGTTAATAGTAAAATTATTTTGGAGTTATTTTGTAGATAAATTTTGTAAATGACTTGAAAAAGAACACTTAAAAAAAATATCATACATATTTTCATTTCCTTAAAAATATTTTAATTACAAAAACTGACATGAACAAATTCGTCTCAAACTGGTTTATATTTTAGGACTATCACAAAAGCTCCATTAATAAGTATAAGTGCAATTGTGGGCGATCTTCTGGAAGACTTAGAGTCATCTACGGGAGCGAATAAGGAGACAAGAATAGAAACACCTGATACGAGCAACGATTGTGTTTTTATGAGCGAGCCTGCTACCCAGTTCCAAAGCCTACCCGAGGTTGAAGAAAATAAGACGAGAGAACAAATGATAATGTCGATTTCGGAAGAAAAATTTGAGACTTATCATTTCACTAGAGAATCAAATGCTCGACAAAATAAGGGTGAGCTTAAAGACGATGACGCAACAACTGCTACTGAACCATTAACTTTTCAAGAGCAGCCAGACAATAACGTTAATGAAGTTTGTCCATGGGAAGATGAGTAAGCCTCGTATTAAAACAGATTTTATATCTTGCTAACCAGTATCATAATCTTTTCACTAAAATTAAAAATTTTAATATCTCACGTTTAACTGTTATACTCAATAAATAGTACTTATTACAAATTCAATGAAAGTGGAAAAAGAATATTCTAAGGCTTCCAAAAAAATAACAATTTCACTTATCATTTATTTGAAATTTAAAAAATGCATAATTTTAAATATTTATGAATCAATTAGATAATTAAATTTTATGCAAAGAAATCTTATTTAAAATTTGTTTACAACTTATACAGTTTCTAGAACATTTTTAATATTATAATTTGTTTATATATTTATTTTTTTTTAACTATATAACACAAATTACAAAAATATAAATTATAAATATTTAAAAATAATTTAATTAAAACAAAAATGATTTTGGACATTCTGTTATATTATAAAAATTTTCTACAACGTATGATGCTTGCTAATCATTTAAGCATCATATGTGACCATAATTGTACTGTGCTTAATATTGCGATTTTCCAGTTAAATTTTCATTTGATTAGATGTAAATGTATATACTGATATATATTTACACGATAATAATGAATAATAATAACATTTCGAAAAGGTATTGCAAAAATTTTGTATTTATGAGATTATATTACATATCTTCATTTTCTATTAATAACAAAAAAATATTCACTATAGAATTATTTAAATAAATGCTGTAAAATAAAGTAAACTTACATATGATCTTTTTTTCAGAGAAAATTGTAAAGTGGACACACCCTACATAAAAACCTATGCAACTTTAGGTTATTTGTAAGTCTTATTACATGGTTTATGTTCGAAAGATGACTTTCAAATTTAATATTTTCATTTTCCTCCAATATTTTAAACTCAAATATCTGAAATTTTTGCATAAATTTTTAATATTATACTGTTTTCTTTAAAATATATTTTTTCTAAAAGATATTTGACATGCAGAAAAATAGTTCATTACAATATTTGTGTTTAAACTAAAACTATATCATGTTATAATAAAAATATTTAGAGTCATATAATTATGAAAATAAAAATAGTTGTTTAAATATTGTATTACAAAAATGAAAGGAATACAATGTATTAAAAGAAAATAATATGTTGTGAAGGTGATTCTAATTTTTTAAAAACCTGATTAAATAAAGTAAATACACAGCACATCATAATAAACAGTTTTTCTATATATAAATCTTGGAATCTTAAATGCATACAGATTTTCTTAATAGAAATATACTGGGTAACCATTCTAATAACTTTTTCATGATATTAATACATAATATCTTACTATGAAGTTATCGTTGTCGTTATTGTTATTGTTGTATTTATGATAAATATATTATATTTATCATTAAAGTGCCATATTCAATCTTGATGTAAATATACGATATTAGATATATATTAATACGATAAATAGAGCATAGATGTTGATAAACATGTATAATTAATTATTAAAGATTTATATAAAATTTTTTTTTAATTTTTTAGAATACGTTTCAAAGAATTCTGTCAATAATGAGCCCATTGACCAATACTTTGAATCGCTTAAATTTCAAATTCAATTCAATTTCAAAATATATTTACAATAATATTTGTATATATAAAATAATGTCAATATAAAGATTATTTTATTATTCATAGATGCTTTATATTTTCATGCTCGTATTTAGAAAAATTAACATAAATATATATTACAATATTTTAATAGTAAAAAAAATGAACTTTTAATTAAACTTATTAGAAATAATAATTTAGTCTTCTCAATAATTATTTATTGGTATTAATAATTTATCGATAAATATATACTTTTAGTTGTATGGAATTTTATCAGAATGTCCTCTAGTTCACTATCGATATTTTATGGTATTTCATATAGTCTTATATTAAATATTGCAGTAAATGTAATATTGACGTATACTGAAATTTAGATTAAAATATTATAACAGACCTGTTAAACCTGTGAATTTTAGAAAGTCATCGATATCGTGTAACATGATTTTCAATTCAATAGCGACAGAATTTATTAATGCATAACTTATATGTATTTATAAATATATTTTTGTATATTATATATAATATCAATTTTTAAATCTATGAAAAAACAAGTCGGGAAATAAATGTTCAAGTTTACAAATTCTTAATAAATAAAAGAAACGAAAAATTTGAAAACAACAATTCTTCGTCAATAATATACTTTTCTAAGCATTATTTACATTATATTTATTGGGTTATTCCCAAATTTAAATAGCATATTAAAAAAAAATTTTTTTTGATAGTGGATTTATATAATAAATCAATTGTAATTCAATATCTAAGATTTTTAATTACTTATTAAATTTTCTTCGAGACAGCTTGCTGTATAATAACATTGACCTATATGTTTATTAAATATTCATAATTTAAAATATTGTAAATTTATATTTTCAAGTGTATATATAATTTTGAATGTTATTGGGGTTACATATATTTTGAAAGGTATAATTGAGTTTAAATATTCGGAGGAAAGTATATCTACAATGTAAAAGAAAAAAATCTTGTAATATAGAGAAGTTATGAACAACTTAATTTATAAGAGTAATAACAGAATAATTTTAATAGGTTACTTAAAAATGATTTCTACATAGAAAGAATATAATGATTGAAAGTAACGGTATAAAGAAAAAATCAAAAACGGAAGAAGAAAATCATATTAAATTTTGAAGAATCATTGAAAGAATGTAAATAAATATTAAGAACATTTAAATCAAATTGTGAAAAAAAAATTTATTCATTATCATAAACACTCATTATTTTATTGACTGGTGTGCTTAAAAAAAGGTAAACTTGTTATAACCAAAGTAAACATATGTATTCATAAATGTACAATTGTACAGTAAAATATACAATAAAAATGCTATAAAAATAAATTTTGAGGGGTCACATCCAAGTTTATAATATACATTTTATCTTCATAAAAAACTTGAATTAAAAAACTGTATATTATCTCCAAATTATTTAATCACTATTTTGGATACAATAATTGATTATTTATAAAGAAAACGAACTTTAATATTTAATGTTTTAGTATTGAATATTGATCATTGATTATTGATGCATCATTGATGTACAATAAATAAAGTGATTATTATAAAAGAGTTTGGTTAAGAAGCTAATAAACATAAATTTTCATTAAATAAGTTTAAGTAATATTCAATTTTCGTAATATTTAATGAGCTGAGTGCAATTTCTATAACGTACAAATTGAAAGGATCACTTTATTATGTGTAAGATCAATTTATGAAAATGTTTAGATTTGTAATAATTAAAATACTTAAATATTTTTAATAGAAAATTAAAAAAAATTTAATATTATTTTGCTTTATCATTATATTTTAATTATGAAAACAATGAATTATTCACTTTTAAAATCAATTTTTATATTATTTTCATAAAAGGCAAAAAGAATATTTTTTTTCGTTAATTATTAATATCAATAATTTTCAACGTAGCGTAGATAAAAAATCGTGCATAGATTAATTTGAAAACTGAAAGTGTATCTGAAAAAGTATATCATGGAAAAAGCAATGTTAAATAATGAAATACTTGCCCACTAAAACTCTTTATCTTGAGTGTGTATCCCTCGCTATTTAAATGAGACAACTAATGTACATGATTATATCAATAAAATATTAGAAAAAAAATGTTAAATCGTCATTGACTGTCGTTATTCACATTTTCAATCTATAATTTTGTACGTATTATTCCTTTTTCTGTCAATCTTTGATGAAAAGAATCAAAAGTATAATACAAATGTGAATCAATCCTTTACGATTGTAAAAAATCGATGAAATATATAAATTAATTGTGCAAACTCTTTGTTATTAAAAAATATTGCGATAAAAAAACGCCATAAAATTAAATGAAAATTTTTACCGGAAATCTATTTAATTTTATTTTAGTTATTTATAAATTTAATAAAATCTTATAACAAAATTAAATAATGAAATTACGCATATGTAGTGAAATGCATTGATAAATTATTATAGAATTCGAAATTTACCGCTTATGTATACTTTTAATTAATTGATATAAATAATTTTTCATAATCTTCATTCATTAAAAAAATTAATTATTAGTTGATTAGAAAATACAACATATGACTTAAATATTTAATAAAAATTCAAAAATAAAATGAAACAACTAATTAACTAAAGACAGATGCTTTGTTTAAAATGCAATGAAAATATATTCTTATTAATAAATACTTATAAGTAAAAACACCTATTCATAATATAAAAATTTAAAAGAAAACAAAAATTGTCTATATGGCTGTAACATTTTTAATTAATTTGTTTGTTTCGTTGTCGAAACTATAAAAAAATTCGTACTTCAAAATATCTGTATAAAATTAAAAATAATTTATTTTCCATCTAAAACTGAAACAGTTTGCTGTAATCGTACAATAAATGAAATAAAACACATTAGGTTATATATATATGATTTTTTTAACGAGATGTTTTGTTTCTATAGCACGAAGTGTTATAGAAGTTCATATATATACAGACAATTGTTCGTCAGCCTTTCCAAGATTTAATGTCGCCCTAGAACAACCCTACAAATCTTTTATAAATATTGAATTATTATTCGGTATTTTGTGCACGAACATATTCTAACAGATAAATGAGAAATTTAATGCAATGCAAAGAGACCATTGTCGAGTCTCTCATTTTTCGATAGTATAATTTTAATTGCGGTAAATAAAATATACTAAATAACTGATAAGATAACTGAGTATTAAGAAACACATCAAATTTTAGGTAAACAAAAACTTGATGAAAATATAAATGATATATAAATGTTTCGTTACAAAAATGAGATTAATATTGTTGTTGTTATTGCCGTTATAATTGTTATTGTCGTCAACATCGTTCCCACGTCTATACCATCGCCGTCATTATGTTCATCATCATCGTCCCCGTTATATTATTATTATTATTATTATTATTAAATATTCGATATTATAGTGTGAAAATGTATGCGCATAATTGTTTCTTCTATTTGTTTAAAAACATATAGTAAATTATTAAAGTAAAACTGGAATCGAAAATAGGAAAATATTAGAATGAACATTGAATGTTGAAAATACAATAATAAATTATGGACATTGATTAGTTGTTTAAAACAAAAGATCCTCAAGTAATTTATTAAAATTATAAATGAACATGAAAAGAATAAGTATAAAAATCACAATACATAAAAAATTTATTCAGAAATTATGTGTATATTATAATAAATAGAAGATGCGCTCTTAGTCAACTTTTTCGTTTATGTATTATAAATGTATTCATTTTTTTCTTTATTAAAAATTACTATTCATTTCAGCTATTTCAGTAGTTTTTGTTATTATTATTTTTATTATTGCTGTTGGTACTGTTATTATTATTGATATTATTGTTATTCATATTCATATTCTTATTATTATTACTATTAGAATTTTTTTTCATCGTTACCACCATCTTAATCATGATCATTATTAGATCTAAGCACTATGATATTTAATGTTGTGATTAGGTTTATCAATATTATTATAATACAAATATTAAATAGAGCGCACTTCATATGTATAAATAATAGTACTGAAAAATATATTGTACATGACTTGTGAAAAATGAAAGCAGGCAAGAAGCAAAATAAAAATAAAAAAATTAACATCAGATGATTTTGAACGTATAAAGTGAAAAAAATAAAAATGCGACTAGTTTGAAATTAAGCCGTTATATAATATAAAAGGATTTAATGTATATAGTTTTGTAAAGTGTTATTAACCATCAGGAAAACACAGTTGTAATTTTTGAACAAGTAATTTTCAGTTGCTAACGCCTGTGAAAATATAATTGAAATGTAAAGAACTCACGAGGTATAAAATGTGGCTCAAGAAAAAACTGACGGACGAATTTTAAATATTAAAAAAAAGTAGAAAATTATAAGAAAAAATTATGTGAAAGTGATAAAAATGAATTAGAATAATATGAAAAAAATTGTTATCAAAACGACACATGAATAATAATCGACTGTTTCATCAAAATGCTAATGCACATAATATATTATATATAATTGAAAATCATTATATGTAGTATATAGTATAAGCATTAATATGTAAGCTGACAAATAATGTCCTAATATAAAATATAGTGTCATAAATTAAATTTACGCCATTATATTAATTTATCCTGTTTTATGTTTATGATTAAACTTTCTGTTACTAAGCAAATTTTCTTAATACACCTTGAATTCGCAAATTTTAAACTTATGTAACTGATAGTTTTTATTATATTTATTAAATTTAATATATCGCCCATTAAGAATAAATGAAAGCTAGAATTGAAGATATAGTTATTTTAACATATTTAAAATATTTATATTTATAATATAATACTAATTAAGTGATGTAAATTTTTATATACTTTTTATATTATAAAATATTCCTTTTTTGTTAAGTTATATTAAATTATAAAATAAAGAATATTACGTTGTTATATTTAATATTATTATTAAGAATATAAATCCTAAATAATAATGAAATTAAATAAGTTTATTATAACATCTATAATACGTTAAATCATCATTATAAAATAAAAATTATTTGTTAGATCAATTTAGTATAAGAGTATATAAAATTTTATGTTAATTCATAATAAGTAATAAATAAACAAAAAATATGATCAATACATACAATTACTAGGTAGTACTTTAATTAAATATATTTTTAAAAATCATGATCGCTTACAGAGGTATTTACAGAAAACTTATAATTTGACAAATAATTCAGATATTAATAATATAATAATATTGATAATGATGATTATATATTCGAAAGATATTTATTTTATACAAATTAAATTAACAAAAAAAAAATTACATAAATAAAATACTGTTTACATAATAACGAATAATAATAAATTTTCATCTATAATCTAATAGAATTATGAAATAATGCGTGTACATTTAGTATTTGCTTTAGAAGAATATTATCATGAATCATATTATATGAATCATAAAATAAGGTATATGTACAAAAAATCAGTTTCAATCATATTAATTCTTCAAAAATCTTATAAACATTAAAGAAATTAAAATTTTATAACACAATAACATGCTTTTAAAACATTTATGGCATGAATTACATATCACTACTAAACATTTAAAATTTTGTATCGCAAGTATCTTATTGTTTTTTAATAATATTTCATTCATTATTATAAATTTTTTAACAAATTTTTATAAATATAGTTTAAAAGAAATACAGAAAAATTTATATCTATACTGTATTATTTTCATAACTAATATATTAATTTTGTTGAATATTTGTTAATGTACTATTAAATGCAAATAAAGAAAATACATTAACTGTATATGATTTTTTATTATTTGCATTAAAATTAATAATTTTACTTTTAATATGTCATAAATGTAATTGAGCAATATTATTTAATTTTCTATGGTAATAATAGAATACAATGTCATTTTAATTCTTCAGTAAAAATATCTTTTACATTATTTCTCTTAATTACCGATTGATAAAACAAGTCAATATCTTATTAATTATTTTAGGTTCTTCTATTATTACCATAGAAAATTAAATAATATTGCTCAATTACATTTATGACATATTAAAAGTAAAATTATTAATTTTCATTAGAAATACAAATAACGATCTAAATCATTTCTCTACATACGTTTTACTATATATAAAAATAATTTTACAAAGTTTAGCAATATTCAATCAACTTTATTAATATACATAAAAAAAAGTATAACAAAAAAACTATTGAATAACTATTATAATAAATAAATAAAACAGTATTATTCACATAAAAGAAAAATGAAAGACTAATTTCATACAGTAATAAAATTTTGATTTTTTACATCTTTTCTTTAATTCGTTTGAAAATAAAATTAAAAGAATAAATTAAATATTTGAAATACACCAGTATTTAAGAGTATTTTCATGGAGTTCTTCGAATATTTATTAGCATTGAATTCTTTAGAGGATAATTAAGAGATAATTTGAACATAAAAACAAACTTTTATAGTGCGTATGGCAACATATTACTAAGCCTTTAACATTTCATCAGTATAATTACTAAAATATAAACATGTTTTCATTAAATACATTTACATCTATAAACATTGTAGATTATTTTATATACAATCGTTACAAAAGAATATTTTTTAAAAATAAATATATGTAATAATTGTATACACGTTTGTTATAAATATTAAATAGATATATTTTTCTTAATATTAAGAGAGGATGATTTTTAAGATATACTCTCATAAATTATAGTCGCCATTTAGAAAACAATTGAACGCAATAATTTAGTTTTTATATTTAAAAAAAATTTTGTACAGTTTAAATAAATTATTAAATTAAAACTTTGATCTGTAACGAAATGGTTTCCAATTATTTTATTTGTTATTTAAAATCTTCAATAATAATAATACTTAATATAGAAAATATATGTGTCAAAAGATTAAAAAATCAAAAATATACACAAATCTCTTTTTATTCAGTAATGAAAACAATTATTTCTTGTTAATTTTATATATTCCATTACATTAACTGTACCCATTGTATGTAATTAATTTCTTTAATTTAACATTTTTTCTATTTTTTCATTGTTAACAAATCAAATTACAAATATATATATAAATATATTTAGAAAATGTTCTTTTTTATAAGTTTTATACTTTCATTTAGTTTTTAGTATGTGATACGCCATAAATATTTTTTAATCATCTATTAATAAGCATTACTATGATATACTAATAACTTTTTTAGTGATATTATATTACAATGTAGTATTCATTAGGCTGTTTATTGCAGTGTTTAATATTAATTTGGCTTTTTTAACTAAAACTTTCAATAATATGTATTTAATAGCATCGACATCGTTCAATGGGACATTTCATTGAATATACTAAGCACTGATCTAAACAATATGCTGTGGCTCCTTCTATACCAAAAATTTCTCCGATTGGCTCACAAACTTCTCTGTAAAATTTTACAATATATTAGTTAATACTGTTTTTTTCATTTCAATATTTCTTATTCTTTCTTTTTTTCTTACTTTTAATAATGTAATACATTAATTACTTGTATATTTATAAATAAATTTAATTATATATACTAACTCTGATGTTTATTCAATTAATGTGGAATAATTTGATCCTAATTTTGTATTAATAATTGTAATATTTTATTTTTAATTTGTATGTATTAGCATGTTTTAAAAATATATCAAATACAAAATTTTAATTTATTAAGTTAAAAATATTAAAAATTATATTAGATTTAAATAATATTTCTAATTATTGAAAGAATCTTGTTAAGTATACTTTATAGTAATAAATAGTGTTCATCGTTGTCAAATAAATTGTTTGTTAGTATATTATTATAAAAAATATAATGGATTTTAAATTGTATTAATTTCATTTGTTTCTAAACAAATACTTATTTATTGCAAATTACATTAAAATCAAGTTAAATATTTGAAAAAGTAGTTAAAACTTTATTTTTAATTATTGTATATATGTTGTATAACATTTAGATTATTTAAATCCATTATTTTATAGGTAAAAAATTTTAAATATTAAATTGATATGCACATATATTTTTCTAAAAATTTTTAGAGTCAAATTAGATTAGATTACATACATAACAAAATTAATTAAATCAAATTAGTATGAAATGAAAATAATATAAACTGTATTAATATTATTTTAATTTAAATAATATAATTTATTGAATTACTCATTTTAATTAAAATTGAATTTATCTAATGGCAAAACTTACGGACAAGTACAAATGGAGGCAGGGCAATTCGGTGGATATCGCAAACAATTTGTTTGACACCATTTGTCCATTCCTGGTATACGACGGTACAAATTATTTGATCTACAAACTTGAGATCTAAAACATAAATTTTCTTTTACTCTTGACAATTTAAAAAATTAATAACTCTAAATATGAGTGAAAATCGTTACTAATAATCTGTTCTAATTATTCTTGATCAAAAATAGTTAAACTAATTTAATTAACTGCAATCATTATGTTAGGAATAAAATGATTATGTAATATTAAACTCCTTTCATTACACAAAGATAATTGTGTTTACTAAAATTTAAAATTTAATAATTTTTATTTTATTATATATTGTAATCATTATTTAAAAGTAAATAATGTATTTTTATAATATATATTTACTTATTCCTAACAGTGAAGAAGTAAAATTTTCAACCAATTATAATTTATCAAAGAAATAAATCTATGTGATTTTAAAAATTACGTAGTAGGTTATATAAGTACCTAACAATAAGAGGAAATATATTTTCTGGTGAATCATGATCTCTATAATAAAGAAGAAATGGATTGTCATGATGAATAAAAATAGGTGGTAAACCTGCAGAACTTGTTATAATACCAATATCTGCACAATTTCTAAAAATCTCTGCCATACCACAGCCTACAGCTTCTGTACCATTGAGACAAGTACCCCACATATTTCCTATAAAATATTATAAATATGATATATAAATTTAAAATATAAATATGTTATCAATTATAATTAGTTATAATCACGGTACAAAATATGAAATTTTATATTACATATGTAGTTTTATTTTTAATTATGATATAGTACGATATAGTAACAATAATATAGTAATAAAAATAAAGCTGTAATTACTTAACAAATTAACTGAAAGAAACAATATATTAAATTTTGTTATCATATCTATTATTTTATGTTAAAAAGATAATTATTGCGATTAATGATATAATTTAATATATAGTAGTAGTGGAAATATGAGAAAATTATAAAACTGCAGCTTGTAACTATGCATTTATTATCTGAAATTTTCATTTCTCTTTATAATAATACTATTAATTATATGATATAAATCATGTTAAAAATGACTAATGATTACTATTTAATTTAAATACTTTATTTTCATTTTAATTTTCAATTGCATAATATAGATGTTAATTAACAATTAAGATATCATTTTGAAAAAGTTAAATATTTATGTATATAAAGAAAAAAATGTAAAAGTTTTAAAAGAAAATGGTTACAAAACAGTACTCAATCTTTTAAATGACACGAGGTTGATTAAACTTAAAATTTTATATATTTTGAATTTGATATGATAAAATTTATTTGTATGTAGTATTTTATAATTGTTATGATTACTATTACCGGTATAATATGTCCATTGTAACACACATTGAGTACACGTGAGAAACGGTGGAAGAATAACCTTATATCGAAAAATGGCCTTTTTTTCTGACTCTATAGGAATTATAAAATTCACATTTTTAGTTCCAGACAAGTAAAGTGGATACCTGTAAGTATATATAGAATAAATCACTTAATTCATTAAATTGCATTAAAGTGTTTAAAGATTTCATTTTTCCCAGATTCTTATTTTTTTTATCGGATATTTAATTTTATATAGTATAATGAATTATTATTAGTTGTTATTATTAATTCATATTTTTTATACTATTTTATTATATGAAATTTTACAGTGTTTAAAAATAATAGATTACATCTTATTACGTGAGTTAGCAAAAAATGTAATTACATTTTACATTAAATCAAGTATATTTCATATACTCTATTTGTATACTCTTTATTAAAAATTTTAAGCTATATATCATATGTAAAACATAATTATTAAAAATATCAATTTCTATAGACTTTAAATATAATTTTATATTTTAAACGATTTCAATCATATACAATTCATTTTTTTCTTTCAATAATATACTGCAATTATTGGTATCTGTTATGACACATTGTAAAAATACAAATTATGCCTATTTATGAAAGACAATAGCTTAAATTTTTATTACATTTAAATTATTTCACTATATACTTTTACCATTGTAAACTATATATTTAAATACTATAAATTATATTCTTACTTATTAAAGCATTCTTGCAAAGGATCAATTGTAGGATTATTATTAGGACAAATGTATATTTCAAAATGACCTTGATGATTAGATGTCAGTTCTACTTCAATATCAATTTCCTGTGAAAGAAGCACAATTAAAAATTCTACATAATGTGCTAACACTCAATTCTTGTCAAATTATATTTCTTAAATTTCATGTTCATATTTAAGATAAATAATAATGGAAATATTTGTTCAATATTAAATAAAAATTAAATTATGTATATAAATAATATTTAGGTAATATATTCACATACGTCATGTAGTTTACAACTTTAATATCAAGAAATTTATATAAATTATTGTATAATGTAATAAAGTATTTATATATAATGTTTAGTACAAAAATTATTACATTTTTTAAAAATTTTAATAATAAATAATTATATAAAAGATTTAAATTTTTTTAATTTATATTAAAGTTGTGTTAAAAATATTAAATAATAACGACTATAAAACGATTGATTATAAAAGTAATTAAATTATTATAACTCAAAGTATAATTTAATGAAAATATTAACCTGTCCAACTTGATAATGCCTAACTATGGTTCCTTTAGCATATTCCCCACCAGCTTCGTGTGGTCTTGGTTTGGGTAAATGATAAGCATCACCACAGGTGCCACATTTTCCTTTATTTTGAATCCATTGTACTATGAAAGAGAAAATATTTTTAAAGGTGGTATTTTTTAATATTTTAAACACTAAAAATATTATTTATTACTTTCTTAACATATTGGATAAAATGATAACTAAATATATATAAGCAATATTTAGAATAATAATAAATCATTTATTTATTTATATTTTTTATTTAATTATTTGAATTATTTATTTATATATACTTTATATGTAATTATTTGAATTTCTTTATATATTTGAATGAATTAATATAAAAATAATTAAATTGTATGAGTATAATATTTATAAAGAATAATATGTTAAAATTCATCAATTTTAAAAATATTAAAAAAATTATTTGTAAAGAATACAAACTCGAGTATCCGCCGCAGTAAAGTTCATTATCATTGTAGTTGACCGGATTGGGGAAACCAAAGCGCCACATGCTGTTGCGTGCCGGGGGATCCATGAGTCGTCCGTGACCCCAGACTCCCATATCATTAGGTAGCTTTAATATACGATCAATTAGATTTTTTTATGCTTACGCTTTTTACCTAATTACTTTGTTTAATATCATTAATATCAGCATAAAGTTGTTCAAAACATAATATAAAGAAGATTAATTTATTAATAAGTAAGTAAATTTTCCACTTTGATTGACATTTTTCTATTGTATTATTTACATTGGCGATAAAATAAATATTTTGATGTTGCGATGGTCTTACTGTGTAATTAGTTGCCTTACTTTCAATAATAAGAAGATACCGATCGCAAATGTATTTTTTAACATTGACATTTTCTGCTCCATGATTTAAATCTGCAATAAGAAATAATTGATAAAAACTTAAATCTTTTTTTAAAATATTTCGATTTCAACAAATGTTTTAAGTATAATAAAAAATTTAAGTTGTTAATTATTCATATTCAAATATTCAATTTAAAAATTAAAAAGATTTCTTAAAATTATTAAATAAAATTTATTAATTCTGTGGTTGTATAATGTATTAATTATGCACGTGTCTAAACATACTTATGTTTTATGTATATTATATTTCGCTAATTATTTTTTATCATTTATTACATTAAGACTTATGCTTATAATTATACAGTAATTAATAATTTCATACATTTATAAATGATAATTTTAAAACTATATTTAATAAATTATCTTGAAATAATGATTTTTTTAAACATTTTGCAAATTATTTGTTACCTAAAATATATTCGAGTAATGATTTATACTAACAAAAAATAGATGATTCAAATTTCAAATATCAAATGAATTTATAGTTAAATCAATAAATATTTCTTAATTATTTTGTCTTCATTACCTTTAAAAAGTTTTGAAATATTATTCTATTTTATATAAAATATTCACATCGCATAGTGAACTCTCTCCATATAAAACAAAATATGAATTGTGAAATATTTCCTGCTAGAAACCGGTGTGAAGTATATATATTTTTAAGTATATGTCTGTAGATATATGGATACACTGTATGGATACCTTAAATTTTAGACACTTTTCAGGTAAACGAAAAATTAAGTTTTCTATACATTAGTAATATAGAAGACATAAAGAGATCTTATTTAATGACCTAAACATTTTAATTATGAAGAGTAATTGAATCATTCTTGCAAAATTTTTTAATATTTCCATTACGATTCTAATACCATTTGTTAATCTAATTACTATTAAAAACAATTAAATTTTAATTAAAAGATTTAAAAGTAACTATTATGCGTGAATACGGTAAAAATGTCATGATTTTCAATTTTTTCTATAACAAAAATATACAAATTTATTTTATTTCTAATCAAATTTAAGAATATTGTTTTTTCTGCAAAATTTAAAGGTTATTATAAATATTAAGAGTAAATCGAATATGAAAACAGAAAATAATGTTCTAAGAACACAATAAAATATTTCAAAACAATTTTTTACTTTAATTTATGTACCAAAAACGAGATGTAAATGTATGTTATACTTATTCATAATAACTTTTTATATGAAAAATATATATTATTAAATACATACAAGTTTATAAGTTCAACAGAATATTGCGATTATATACTCGTGAATCAATGTTGTAAAATGAATGTACGGATTTACAATCATTTAGAAAAATTTAAGCTTTTAAAATTAAAATTGATTAAGATGATTCTCCAAACAATTTGTAAATAACAATTTATATATTCCTTTTAGTATCATATATTATTTTAATTAACAATATAATATCTTGTAAACAAATTTTGGTATATAAAATCTTAAAGGAACAGTGCAGTTTGGAAATTAATTTTAGTACATATTTTAATTAAAATTTTTATCACAAAATTATTTATTTTATCTAATAATTCTTAAAGTAGATTATTAAGCAAAATGGAAAGTGAAACTATACATATATCTTTGAATTTTATAAAAAAACAAATTTACTTAATGTATTTCAGTAAATATAATCATGTGATTCTAAAGATTATTAAAGTAATTATGTACATAAAAGAAGTAATTTTTATTTACACATGCATACATAATAAAAATAAAAATGTTATTTATGTATTATATGAAATTGAGTATATAAATTAAATTTATACAAATTTATCAGAGTATAAATTTATATAAAAATTTATATAAAAAAATGTATAAATTATAAGAAACAAGTGGAATAAGTATTTGATACTATGCCCTCAAGCAATCAATATATTACTGAGAAATTGATTTTATAGTTCTCTTCTTGAATTACATTAGTGTTGGATAAAAGATGTGAAATATATATATATTTTTTATTTCTCTAATTATTTTGATTTTATTGATGAAAATATAGTTTAAATACCTTGAATGCAATTTCAATATTTAGTTTTCAATAAAATGTTTAATTTTAAGTATAATATAAAATAAAAAGTTTTTTTTAATCGTGCTGGACATTTAGTTGGAACATAAATTAATATTTATAAAACATATCAAATATTAATTTGATTTGTGCAGAAACTTAACATATTATAAACAAATATAAAATGCAATCATATCATTTATACATTTTAAATATGGAAAATTAATTATTAAATAAAATTTTAAGTAAATTTATTTAATTATTACAAGCACATTTCTACATTTCAATTGAGTGATTATTCTATGTTAAATTACTTTATTACATAAAAATTTAAGCAAAACTGTTCTTAAATAGAAATTATGATCTAGGTGCAACAATTAATTTATTGTCACATAAATGGAATATAAATTATTGGTATGTCATTAATATTAATTTAGCAAACGATAAGTAAATATGCATTTACAAAAATTTTATTTATATTTGTTGCATTTTTTCTTTTTTCTTCAAACAAATTTTTTCATAATTATGAATGCATTTATAACATAAGAAAATGTAAGTATAAGCAAATATTTAAAAAAAATATTATTTTTATAAAAATTTCATTAAACATTTTACTGATATCAATATAATAAAATTAATGCATTACTATTTATATAAATTATTAATCTGCAATAAAATTCTTTTATTATTATTAAGTTAAATGATTAAAATATTATGAAACATTTTTAATCAATAAGATTATTGTAATAATACCACTTACATATTTTATTTAAAAAACTAAATAAATAAGGAATAATCAAGTTATAATTAAATAAATAATTATTACTATATAATTATCATATAAAAATATCTATCAGAACTTTTTTAATTACTTTTTACTCTGGCATACTATATAACTGAATTTTTTATATTTTCTATGCAATAAAGGAAACAAAGACTTTTATACATATAAATCATGGTAAAATAGATTTATATTTGATATCTGTTCATATTAATTCTTGTTCTTTTAATCGATTTGTACCTATATTGTTTCTAATTTATAATAAAATATTATAAATTTACATGAAAAATAAATTTCATTTATATATTTTAAAGAGTTAATGAACTATTTTTATCACCAAATTTTGTGATTGTCAATATAGATGAATAAACGATTACGATACGGAAAGTATATCAAGTTTATTATTTTATAAATTTTGTACTATATTAAAAATTAATGATATATGTTTGAAGTAATAATCTAAATTTCTTCATTTAATGAAATACGAGGTTTGAGAAAGTAAAAATTTTTAACTCATTTTGATTAGTCAAATATAACGACTTAGTAATTAAAGAAAAACTAATATCACGGTTTTTTGTTGAAATTGAGAACATCGGTGCGTGTAAGATATGCCATACGAATCGGCCACAAAGTCAAATAATACTAATGCGTTAAGTGCTGTACTCATTTACTTTATATTTGTTTTTGCTTCGTAAACTCGAACAAACATGTGACTCGCCTTCAAATTAATTCGAATATTACGAAAGGAAAACGAGCTAATTATTCATAACCTAAACCAAACAATTTCTTTATTGAACAAAAATAGCTATCTGTATTATCCTTTTCGATTTTTTTTTAACGAAATATTTTACAAATTGAACCATATTATCTACCGTGCTTATAAATATTATTTTTATTGCAAATTACATTAATTTCAACTTTTCTTATTTTAACTTACATTATGTATATATTTTATTTACATTTACTTTTCCCCCGTTAGCAATTAATGAAAGAAAAAATTAGTTTTTGAGAAAGAAAGAAATGAATACAATGTTTGTATTATTTAATATTAATTTTATAATTTGTATACTATTATAAATTGAAAAGAATTAACTAAATTCCTCAGTCCAATAGTTTTTTAATTATTCATTAAATTTTGTTCCAAAAGTACATATAATCATTTTAAAAATATTTTTCTTAAAGTAGGCTTTGTCCATGAATTTTGAATAAATAAATAACATTCATATTATTGTGAGTATCAAACAATTGTGAATCTTATATTTTAATTTAGTTCCTATACTGTAATTTATTAAAATATAAATATAAATTATGTGAATTAAATAAAAGTTTAATATTAAATTATTCATTCTTTTGTGTTTGCATTTTCACTGTGGTGTAGTATTTTTATAATTGAATAAAATTTTATTTGTAAATCGAGTCATTTTTTACAGCGATGTATTAGTAATTCTATGTCAAAGAAAATTTGATTTGTGAATAATAATGTTTAATTATATAATTCTTCAAAGTAAATATTCTTATCTTTTATATACTTACTAAAAATAATAATATAAATTCTGATTCACATTGATTATCTCTCTAGTAAAATTATAATTTAGCATTTAATTCAGAAATTTCAATTTGCAAATTATATAATAATCTATTATATTTAGCAAATCAAATTAAAATACAAATTTACCTACAATAATTAAGTTCTCCTTATCGATAATGCCTAAAGTTCTAAAAAGTAAAGTAGTAAAAGGGTATTTGTTATGAGTAATTGTATATTTAGTAATAGAGTGATAAAAGTGGCTTAAGTCGCCATAATAAATTAAGGTATAAGTTTTTTGCAGTAGAAGCTTATCTAGATTATTTAAGTAGAAAGTTACCTTGCTCACCGGGTAGATCAATATAGTAAACATATGATCGCCTACCCTGCTCACCGGCACGTTGACAACTGATAGAATATGGGCGCGACAGATGTGGAAACGGCACAAACGACGCAACTACAATGGAGTAAGGAGGTAAGAACAGTACGATTGACCACGAAAAGTGCTGTGCGATAAGAAAGATCCGCCCAATCGGACATACCGAGGTCCATCCTAGATCATCAGCTGTCGCAGTTCTAAATACACTGTTTAAGTTTTTAAGAAAGTTACTAATAATATAATTATTGATAAATATAAAAAGGAAACTGCCGATACTTTTATCTTTTCCTCTTACACTTTTAACCTAATCATTTATTAGCATCACTTCCAATATCTCACGTATTTGCATTTTGTATTATGGAAGAATTATTATAATTTACACAGTAAACGTTCACATGATTATTTATTACATGCAAAGTTTTCTTTCAATAAAAAATATTTTATAAATATTCCTTTATAGATTCCAATTTTAACTTGCATAAAGCATCGGTTCTACCGCATAAACACTTATGAAATCACTTATATACTAAACTTTAAGTTTAACACTTCTATAATCAATATATTTTGTAAGTTTATTTTATATATTATTCATTGCTACATTATTTATCAGTATGAAAAATTGAATATAATTTTATATCTTTTAAAAATATTAAAATATTACTACACACAATTCTATTATAAAAATACATGAAAAATATTTTCACATATGATGAGCTTTGTTTGAAATGAATTATACAGAATTATATTAATAAGAATGTGAATATTATTAAAAAAGAAGAAATTGTTTTACTTATTCTCTTAAAAATAATACAATAATGAAATTACAAAAAAAAGATACAAACATGGTTGGAAGATATTAAACAAAAATTATTTAGATAAAATTTCGACTATTATTGCATAATTAATTGTTATCTATAACAATATATGTTTGTAGTTGTCGTTTCCTTATTGTATTTTATCCAAATTATTTTATTTTTTTTTAAATTTAATAAAAAATCAAATTATTGTTCATATTAGAAAAAAACTCAATTTTATTAGTATACGAAAAATTAATATGTTGCGATTAATTTTGATCGAAGTCATTGAAAAAGAAAAATTTTATTATAAATTTATTTTGCAATTATATGATAAAGAATCAGTTAACTGATAATTATTATAAAAAAAGGAAATAAGAAAGTAAATATTATAAAATATTATTGTTTAATATATTTCAAATAATATTTAAAATGAATAATTATTATTTAGAAATAATTAAAGTTTGTGATTTTATCATAGAATAAGTATTTAATTAAGCATTTACACTTTTCTAATGATAGCACTTTCCAATCAGTTTTTAAAAGAAAATTAACTCTTTATTCTACTAACGAGTTTTTAAATTAATTGGTTTAATAATTATAATTAGATTTTTGTATTTAATATTAAATATTATATTTATTATATCTTATTCAGTAATTCCATGAATTTTCATTATTTGTAATTTTTTTAAATAAGCATGTTAATATTTTATATGCTCATCTGTATGCCAAAGTTACTCCATGATATATCAATTTTATGTTTAAATAAATTATTTACTTAATCTTATTTCTATTTAAATTAATTCAATACGCGATTCAATTTGTGGAATTAAATTATTTCTTTAAAATATATCGTCTGCATTTAATATTGAATATATAAATTCTTTTAGATTCACTATCATTATAAGAAATGAAATTTAAATTTCCGCTTGATATAAATGTTGAATTATTATATAATCGTAAGAAAATGATAAATAAATAATATTTTATTTTTATGTTTGCGTACATATATTTATTAATTTAAAATTAAAGTAAATATATATAAATTTGGACTTATTAAATATTAATTGATAAAATATTTTTTTTTAATATTTAATTTTTATTAGATTATTTATTAGATAATTTATTAGATTGAAATAAGCTATATTCCAATCTTTATTATTTATTAGAGTATTTATCGAAATAGCTTTCATTTCAATGTTTATAAGAATCAATATAATTTATTAATTAGTAATAATGATTTAAATAAATTTGCATATTTTTTTAAAATATATAAAATAAATGATATGTTATTTCATTGTCACTTTTGATTCGATCTCTAAAATTAATAATTACTATATGATTTAAGCACAAGAAATATTTGAACAATTTACTATGAATTTCTTAACTTAATTTGAAACTAAGAACTATAATTTAATATAATATAGCAATTATTTTATTTAATTCTGAAATTTATTCATTATATGCATAAATGCAAGGTTTCGTATTGATATATATTTGAAAGTAAAATTTATTAAAATGTAATAAAAACATATATATTGTATATTCTATTCATTTCACAATAATATTAATAATCCTTGATCGCTACGAGCAAGTACTTTACGCTTCCGTTATGCATAAAGTATTTAAACATTCCGCTTGCAATAAAAATGAATTAATGGAAAGCTTAATCAGTATCCCACTATCATATTTTATTTAAATTATTTTTATATTCAAAAAAGAAAGTAAAATAAATATTATCAAAGATTTTAATTTAATTATCAATACAACTCCATGAGGTATGTAAAATTTTATAAATATTCTTATTATTTTATAATGATTTAGTTATTTAGTTTTTACTAACTAAATATAATCTAACTTCTATTACCAGTAGATATTTTTAAAGACATAAATAAAAAAATTAGATTAATGAAGTTTTTAAATTTAAGTTACAACTGGTATATCAATAAGTATCTTCTCCACCTTTATTTCAAAGTTACAAGTATTCATAATTACTCCTTTTTTTCTGAAACTATGTTTTAATTGAATGTTTTCCTAATTCCAAAATGCCAAAATATCTAATAATCAAAAGTATTGTTACCATATCCTGATGTATTTGCTATCATGAAATGACATAGTTTATTATAAGCCGTACCCTACTGTAAATTTACACTTGTGTTGATTGATATGAACAGTCTGTCGATACTATTAATATTTTATTAGTGTTATGTAATAAATATAATGTAATTACCTTAAATTAGAATGAGCTATGTATTCAGTTGTAAATTAAATATAATAATTTGTATTCATGTATTCATGAATTTAAGTATAGATTAATCTAAGCTTGTACTTTTTATTTTGTATTATATTCTATTATATTATTTAACTCATATATATTTGGAAAACAAAACTTAGATTTTTTTAATTTAAAAACTATGTTTGCAGAAAAATTTTCGTTTTGAATATTGTTGCATAGTTAGACATCTTTTTAATCTTCCTACATATTTTATTATTTGATAATTTATACACATACTTACCATTTGTAAAAACTTATTAAATAACGAATATTTTTTATAATGGATAATTATCTCTTATGATTCAATTTATAACTAACTTCAAAATTGAGTCAAATAGTCATTCAATTATACATAAAATCGTACTGATTTTATATAATCAATTTAATTATATTCACATTAAGGTATATTTCTATATATAAATTTCTTTTGGTACAAAATATACAAATATAAAAAATTATATTTACTTATATCTATTTGATTAATTTACATTTTTTTCGAGTACTTTTATTTTTATATTATTTTTCCGTTTAATACTTATTATTAAAAAATATACTTTTTAAAATTTATTGTATATTTAAGATTATTAGAATATTTACGTTAAAATACTTAGAGAAATTAAAATTTATAATATATGTTATTTTCAATTTATTTAGAAATAGATATTAACCTATTAGGATCATCATCTCTGATAAATTTTCTATTTAAGTTAAATTTAATAAAGCACTTTCAAATATAGTTAATATTTAATTTTCTAGTAACGACCATTTTTGTTTCATAATAGAAGAGTTTGAAAATCATAAATAGTTTAATGCTTAATATATTCTTGTACAGAAATAACAATCCTCATATTTATTTATTATTTATAATTTATTATTTATAAATATATTAATTTGTTAATTTTGTTAAGTATAATTTGCATTTAATAGAATACTTGAATATTTGTTTATAATATTCGAGTTAAAAAATGAAACATTTGTTAAAATAAATTAATATTTAGTGATTTAATGAAAAATTTCTTTCTAAATTTCATTCTACCCTATAGCACAATGTATTTTGTCTTATACTATAGTTATACAGATTATTTATATGAAACAATTTTTTTAACTACTTTTAACTGTACCAAATCAATTTCGTAATTAATGAAACTAGATTTATAGAAAATACATATTGGCAAAATATTTCAAATTAATCTCCGAAATCATAATCATCTTGTAAACCCTGCATATATGAACTTTTCTTAATATAGTTGAATGGTATAAATAAGTTATATCTGAAGTCTTTTCGCTCATCTTGCAAATCCCATACTTTTTGTTCTAATTTGCGAATTTCCATAATTTGTGATTCCAAATAGATCATATGAATGCTTTTTTCATAGTCTTTTTGAGGATTAAAAAATAAGTAACGTGCCATAAATCTTGTGATAGGATTCTATAAGTTAAGAAATAAACAGTTTTTATTTGAATATATAAAATATCAATTTTTAATATAATTACCCTATAATATTCCCAATATTGTGGATAATAATCTTCTGGAATTTCAGTAAGAGTTGCTGGACCAACCAATACATTGGCACCAAATGTGACAATGCTTAATGGTAAAGCCATAATCAAAAAATAAAAGTGAATCATATCTTTTGTTTTATGCCATTGCCATCTGCTAGCTGTAATAATCATCTCTGAAGACATGCAACATGTTTGGCTGGGAGTGATAACTGAAAATTGTATTGTTTTTATATTACAATACATATTTCTGCTATATTTTGAATTTATATTAAATCTGAATGATATTAAATGAAATACATTATTGTTTAATCTATTCATTTTAGGAATATTTTAAAATCTATCTATTTTTATAATTTCATAAAATTTTAAAGAAACAATACCATATTTATTTTTTAAATTTAACTTTTGATAAAAATTCTATTTATATATTTCAATATTGTACGTTGATTAATTTAAATATATTAGATACATTCAATTAAAAAATGTTGAAATACCGTAAGATTTTAATTTTCCAATTGATAATAATTACAATTTTATTCAATATTTTATAAATCGAGTTAATGTTGAAAGTAAATTAATCCAAACTTAATTAATGTACAGACTTTGCAAATTGAAAATCATTAAAATAAAATATGGATTAATTAAAATTCTATACTTAAATTATTTTATTTAAAATTTTATGGAAGATTGAAATATTATGTTTCAGAATAGAAACTTCATTATACAATGAATCGAAGTATATTTCAAATAAATTATTATATTTATTCAATAAAGGATTACTACACTATATTTTAGGGGATTTATAATGGAATTTTTATAAAATTAGTTGAATATTTGCCTATACTTATTATTTTGATTGCATAATACAAATGATTTGTTATATTAGTATACAAATAATTATTATAAATTAAACATGTTAATAATAAATAATCATAAATCTCAACTCACCGTTGTTTAGTAAAAGTTTATTCCGAAATATATATATTTTTTGTAAATTTTGACTTATAGAACAGGAACGAACAAATGTGCTCCATACCACCATTTTGTGAAGTACCTACTATGTCGATAAAGTCAAATACGTTATACTGGTTCTGTTTTATTAAGTAATGTCAATAATTATGTTTGTGCACTCGCATAATTTTACGAATATTTATAATATTTAATTCCGAATGAATTACGTGAAATTAAAAATATAATGATATAAATATAAAAGGTTTACATATATATAATAATTCTATGAATATTTTGACACATATAGTGTCTATATAAATATTCATAAAAATAATTGAGCAAGATTTATTTGACCTTAGAGCTATTGCCAAAACCGCAGGTGATCGACAAGCAAAAGAGGAGGAATTACTATAAAAATATGTTTTCTATAATAAATTAAATTACGAATTGTGAAAACAACTAATGTGTAATTTATATTAACATAAATCATTTGAAAATAACAGATTTTACTCCTAATGGATTACCATACGTGAGTATTAGTTCTTGTAACTTAACTGAAGACAGAAAAATTAGAGTCAAAAGGAATACTTGAACATTTTTAGGACGATAAATAAATTGAAAAATTTACAGTTTTGGTATTTATGAGAGTTAAAAAATTGATCAAAAGTCTTTTTTCTGCATTTTTTATGCATTTTAATTAATTAGCAAATTTTTTTTATCTCTTATTTTATTATAAATGAATTTTTATATTATTTGAAACTATGTTCATAATATAGACAAAAAATTTCAATCAATTTTAAAAGTAAATAATTTATAAATAATTAATAATTTATATATTACTTAATCCAACATAACAAATAAATACTAAATCAGTAAATTGGTTTAAAATAATTCATTTATAGAGTAATATTACTCTTATTACTCATAAATACATAGTTTTTCTTATAAAATAATTTTCAGTCATATAAATAAAAACTTATAATATTTTACGTAAGAAAAATGCTTATAAAGATTGTCCTTAGATCAAATTATTTTGTTTCTAAAGTATTTTTATAAAAATTGGTAGAAAGTTTATTGAACAAAGAATTTTTATTTAATGATATTAGTAAAATCTATATTTATAAATTATATTTTCACGTAGATTTTTAGTTTTACTTTTTTAATTGATAAATAGATTTTAATAATATCAACAATTTTCGACACTTGATTTATATAAACTTATAATTGATAATATGTTTTGAATTGTATATATATAAAAACATATAATTCTTTAAATAATATTAATCATATTATATTCATATTTTGCTTTGTATAAACACTAAAATTACACTTTTTCAATTAGTATGCAACATTCGTGAAACATAAAATTAGCCAACAAATATGAATAATTAGTAATAATTCATCATATGAAGATTCACTAAAAAAAATAAACATTTATAATGAATAAATTAAATTTTTAAATTTTAATCATGTTAATTTGATTTCATTAGACTATAATTTGAAATATTGCTCTATCATATACGAATATAATTTCTATTTGTAGATAATATAAGGATTAATAAATATAATTAATAGTAAGATTAACAGAAACATTTGGAAAATTAAAAATTTATAAAATACTAGAAAAAACATAAAACATTTAGTATATGGTTGATATTTCAATATAATTAATTTTAATTTATCAATATTTCCATTTAAAAAAGAAGATATAAAATTTCTTTTCCGATAAAAATATTAGTTAATAAATTTTATCATTTTAAATCACATATTTAATTGATATTTTTTTTATAACTTTTCTTTTCTGAATAGCATTATATAAAAAGGCAACACAAGCATCAAACTTATATTTGATAAAATATAAGAAATAACATTTTTGGTGAACTTATCGATTTTTACTATTTTTCAAATAAATATAGAGTATTACGTAATTATAATGAAAATAAATACTTTAACAGATTTTTTATACAGGTACACTTCATATTAGAAGACTATTATATGATAGATTAATAGTGAAATCTATAGTTTACAATCTAAGCATTCTAGTCCAAATTTTCAATTAGAAAATCGATTTTGAAACTCTATATATTTACATATTTATATTATTATGAACCACGAATAAATTATTTAAATTATTTATTACAATATATTAAATACAAAAGCATATATTGTAATATATTGAAATATAGATTATTAGTTATATATGGTATTGTATAATATATTCGATTACAATGGAATAAGAAATTTGCGATATAAAATGCTTATAAAATATAAGAATATGATATAAGATAATAAATAGAACAGTATAGATTTAAGAAAAATGGCTAAGATCTGGAGATAAATAAATAAATGTATTTTAATTAAATAAATTTTAACAAATAAAACTTAATTGGATAATATTAATTAATAATAGTATGAGTTTCTAGTATAAGTAACGTCACTACAGTTTTTCTTATTGAACATGTTGTAGGTTAAACGATTAATTGAGCTTTTTAAATGGTTGCAAAAAAATACCTATTACTCTCATCTACTTTATTTACTTTCATTTTATCACTTTACTCTCATCTTCAGAATGTAAATTTTTTTTAATTATTTCTCATTCAATTTTGAAGGGTGTGTTACAAATAGGATTTAATTAATTGATAAATGATTTTTAAAAAATTTTTTCTTATGTAGATATTAAGATTTAATAAACTATGATTATATAGAATTACAATCAAAAATTTTTTTTGGATAAATGTATCACTTTTCATTCTATTATTGTAACTATTTGATTAATAAATACAATTTTATTAAATATGTTTATTAAATGTTTAAAATGATCAAAGTAAAGTTTAACAATATTATTAAGTATATGAAAGAATAAGAAGTAGCAAGTAATAAAAGATAATAAAAAGTAATAAAAAGATAATCATAGTAAAATATTGATAAGTAATTAGTAAAAATGTTGTAATTTGTTACAAACCCAAATGATATATTGATGTGTCTTTTATTTACCACAACAATTTTTTTTAAGATTTTTTTTATGAAATAATAAAAATATAATATGTTTTGATTCTCTTTTCCTTAAAATTTGTTAAAGTAAAGGAAAAAAATATAATAAAATTATTAGTTAAATTCTTTGTATTAATTATTAAATTAAGTTTTTACGCATAAAATAAAAATAAGTATACGTAAGTTTATGCTTGAGCGACTTTTTTTTAATAACGACTAAGACTGTTTATTTCAAAACGAATTTAAATCCATAGTATAAATTTATTAAAAATTTATATTTATTTCTATTAATTATTTTATACTTTTATAATAACTAATCTGCATAAAATGTATATTAAATGCATATTAATAAATACATCGTTCTACAAACGAAGTAATCTACTCAAAATGTCTATGAATATATTATACAGTAAACAACAAATTAATAAATGTTGGACTGGATGATTTTGTTTTTAATTAAATATTTTATAACAATCAATATTGTTAACGTGTTTCAATATAATACCTAAATTTAATGATATTATATTATAATATATTATAGTATATTAAAATAACACAAACTTATAGATAATCGATAAAAATAAATAATTACATGTATGATTTTTTTAATTTTTGAAGAAAAAAAAACTAAAACCTTCGTAAAAGATGCAAAATTCTGTTTTTAATTTATATATAAATTAATTATAATTTTTCTTATAAAATAAAAAAATTATTACAAAATGTTCTCATAGCTAGAAATTTATAAGTTAATTTCTATCAGGCATTAGAACAATGATAGACATGGATTAGTGAATTATATTATAAATGATTATAAATTATTTTGAAATACTATAAATAATTGAAAAGAAAGTAAATATATGTGTGCGAGAGAGAAAGAGAGAATTCTATCGATTATAAAAATAATTTTTTGTTTTTGAAACCTATAATTGTTTTATCTGAAACAGAATGTAAATACACGTATATTTTAATATATAATCTGATTAGTTTTCACATATTATTAACAAATGAATAATTGTAATAAACAAAGAAATATCCACAATTTTAAACAAGAAACGAAAAAGGAAAAGAATATTTTTTATTGTAATTATTCATGCTTTATTATCTTAATATTTATCATAAGTTAAAATTGTAAGTTATAGATCAAATAAAAAAAAACAAAATTCAATAATAATAATTTTATTATAATAATAAATTGAAATGAAATATTATAAGAAATCAAAGTGAAATTAATTAATTATATAAATATTAGTTTCACTTAGATTTTGAATTAATCCTAGCTGATTTTACTTTTAAATATTGATTTGAAATCTAATCTTTTGAGTACTTTATTCCATAAATGTTATATATTCTTAGTACTTTTGTGTCTATAACTGCATAACTTATATTTAAATTATATTTAAAAAATATGGTCAAAAAATTTATTGGCGTTGTTTTTTAGTTAATTTTAATTTTTATAAAATCAGTGATATTAATACCTTAGTCTAAGATTATTTTTATTTATTAATTCTATCTCGATTTATATTTAAAATGGGTAATAATTATTTGTATTGAATGTATAGTCTTATAAAATATTTACATTTATTTGAATGTAAAATACATTAAATAAATTGAAGCATTAAAACATTAACCTTTATATTAATATAAAATCTAAATTTTAATTTCATAACTAGAATGTTTAATTTTAACTTTAAAAATAATTACTTTATAATTTTTAAAAATCAATGCTGTACAAACTTTTTCAATGAACTATAGGTGTAGAGCAACTGTTTATACATATGAAAAATAGTAGTTGAGTATGTTCACTAAAACTGAGCTAAGTACGAATGACAGAATAGTAAACAGTGCAAGAGGTAACTACTATCCATGATAATGAAAGTGCTCCTCGATACTTACCCAACAGAGGTGCTGATACATATAATTATAGATATCATTATTATTGTCATAGGAAGAACGTAAAATATAATGCTCTAATTAAATAAATTTTCCAAACATAATTAAAGATTATTATTAATAATAAAATTTGCGTAGAAAGATAGTTTTATAATTAAAATAATTATTGAATTATTGTGCTCTTTCTTTCTTTAATAATATAAAAATAATGTATGATTTAGTAAGATAAGTCATCTTTAATACTTAGCAATGTCTTTTCGGATGATTTTTAAACACATAATTATTGGCTAAAACTATTGACGCATGATAAATAGATTACAATATTTTTCTAATGCAGATAATAATTATTTTCATAAAAGAATATTATCATTATCTTAAAATTAACCCTTGAGGCTTACTTGATTCCATTATTTAGAATATTATATTTAAGATAGTAAAGTTTTTAATTTTTTTCTACTAAATATATCTTTATTATTCATATATTAAAGACATTTTTAGGCATTAAACATAATAATTGAGTTAATTCAGTAATTTATTTTATTGATAACACGCAAAATTAACAAAATTTCTCTTGTAGGAATTAAAATAATTCATGTTTAATTTCAAAATATTCTTCATTTGTTCAATAGTACATATTATTATTAAAACTGTTTTAAAAATGGAATGCTATATACATTTATAATCTTAAATTATTTAGATTTATTGGAAAACTCAATAATTCCGTAATTAAATTTTATTCATACGATTTTATTAATACCTAGTTATCTGAATTACTTTATCGATATTATATTATAAATACTTAAAGGCGGATTTTATAATTTTTCAATTTATGAATAAATTTGTATTAAATATATATTTAATTAGTAGAATAAAATAAAGATACATATTTACAAACAATTTTTATTTGTCGGAATATTAAAAACATTTTTAATATGTCAAATCTATATTTTTTAACTGATATTTTAACCTAAATTATAGTTTTGATTAAGTCAATCTATAAAAATTGATATATTACGTACTATATTAATTCTATTTTAGCTGACTTTTTCTATAATTATTATACAAAATTCAATATCTGAAATTGAGGTGTATAATAATTATAGAAATATATATATATATATATATATATATAGAGAGAGAGAGAGAGAGAGAGAGAGAGTGAGAGAGAGCTTTATAGTAAAAATAGATTAAAATAAAAAACTAAAAATATTAACTAATTTAGTACTCCATTTTTAATTTACCTTTTATCAGCATATTTCAACGAAAAGAACAATAATTATATGATCGCCTGCGATTATTGATTTATATGTTCTAGAGGACAACGTTTTAAATAACATAGTTTTTTACAAAATAGTCAAACAAAATAGTCATTTCTAAAAAGGCTAAAATTTTTAATAATAAAGATAAAAATATTTATTTTCAAATTTTATCTTTATCTTTCTCATTAATTTACAAAAAAGTGATTAAGTATGGATTTTAACAATATTTATAATTAAAAAATATAATATTGTTTGATTCAAATTTAATAATGTTACAAAGAAAAGATGGCATTTATTTAATAGTTATGTCTTAATTTATATAATATTATTATTATTTAATAGTTATTTTTTATTTATATAATATTGACTATAAATTAATATAATTTTATTTTCTTAAAATTAAAAGTAAATTTATATTTTGTAAAATATTTTCCAGAATGTACGAAAGAAGTTTTCCTTATCTCAAAATATTTTATTAAAAAAAATAATATCAAAATCTAATTAAATTAGATAAATAAACATTTTATTTTAATTTATAAGGTTTTCATGAAATTTATATTACGATTTTTTACTATAAAATTAGTTTTTATTTTGTATTTTATTATATTTCAATGGTTAATGTGCACATAAATATATTTTAATATCTTATATAAAATAGTTACAAAATGCTATTCTGCCTTTAAGGCATTATAATATAATACTATAAATATAAATAAAAATTAAATTTTCAAAGTTATATATTGTAATCTTTATATTTTAAAAACTTTACTTGTATAAAATTATAAGCAGCTTATTTAAAATGTAGTTTATCGTTAAGATGCATGAGAACTAATAAAAATAATAGATTTGATTGTTAGATTGAAAATTTAGAGTCGCACGTTTAGAATTGAAGAATAGAATAGAAACACAATTTAGAAGAAATGTTATACAAATATGTATAATAAAACCAGTAATGTTATAAGAATGATAAATATGTTAAAATGAAATATATTAAGTATATAATAATAAAGAATCGGAGTAAAGACTAATTAAAAAAAAAATATTTAATTTGCAATTCAAATTCATCAAATTAATTTTATTATTAATTAGAAAAATTAAAAAGTGTTAAATAAGTTCATAATAATTATTACTTAAATACATGTGTCTCCATCGAATAATAACAAATTTCAAAGAAAACCATATAATTATATAAAGGACATTGATTTCAGTTTTCTTATATATTGAGTTATAAGAAAGTAGGTCTTGCCTAGCATGATTTATTCAAGTACTTCCCGAGTCTTAACTCATTTAACTATATACAAATGGAAATATCGCCATTTGCTTTCCAATTGTCTGCTCGTTCTTCTATTCATGCAAACAATTGCCATAGATGGAGATTACCAGTGATTGCTATCGATACTTTCGTAAATGTTTCATAAAAATAATGTTCTGCTTATGTTCTATTTAATGACAATTGATGATTGATTAAATGATTTATTACATACTTGTAATTATATAAAATATAATATATAAAATTATATAAAATTTCAAATTCAAATTAGAAACGTTGGGCAATAAATTACATAAATAAATAATAATTATTTTTTTCAACACTGTTGGTAGCGTTAAATCATGATTAAATTGTTGAGAATTATAATTAAAATAGATTTATGATTTTCTTTTTTAATTGAGAAGACCATTTTGTTATTGAAAGCAAGTTTATCATTGCTTTTAAAAATTTGACATTATATAATTATACTTTTCAAATATTCAACCTATATTATATATATATATATATACTATTGCAAATAATAATTATTATTATTTTAGACAATGATTTAAAATAAATATTTTTATTCCTCTTTTTTATTACTTAGTATCTATTTAATAGCTCCAAGTAATACAATATATAGATAAAAATAAATAAATAATTAAATAATTGTTTTGAGAAGTCCCATTATTTTTGTTTAATAATTATTAATAAACTTAGAACAAGTAATTATTTGTATAATGCAGCTGTGTTTTAACAAAGCAAGTACTAAAAGCGTCTATATTAATTATAAATTGTTTTTAAAAGATGCTTAATTTTGAATTTATGTGATATTTTTAATAGGTGAATAAGTTTGTATAATTTGATATTCAACCAAAATTTGAAAAGAAAATTGTTAAAGTAAATAATGCTGTTGAATTTCGAGAAGGTGAAATATAATGTTTCAAAAAGTTTGGGGATTAATAATTGGAAATAGATCCTCACGAAGATGAAGTCTACCAACTTTGACTCAGAACTATAGTTATGACATGCTAAGGGGCGGTAGAACGGAAGTGCAAGGTCGGCCAATTCAACAAAATCCGCACTGCTATTCCCTGTAGCTGCGGAGTTGCCGTTGTGGTTACTGAGCTAAGCGCCGGACTCGCAGTTGCGGCCGAACAACCGTGCAGCTCACATCGGGCATTAAGGAATATTGGCCAACAGCCCCCAACAGACAGCTCCTTTGCTCACCCCAACCTTGGGGGTTATCATCGAGCGATCAGGTATGTGCTCCTATCAATGAGCCATCGCTTTAGTACTGAAAATTTCAACACGACTTTGCACACTAAAAAATTTACCAATTGATATCCTTACATCGCATTCTACTGTTTATTGAAGTAATTATTAGGCTTAAAGTTTGTTAAAAAAGTTTGCTTACCTTTTGTATTATGTGACATCCTCCCATCTTTTAATGCTATTTTTAAAATTCACGCATGATCACTGCCACAGAAAGACTAAAATTTATTAAATCATCCACTACTTTCCAATAATTATCTTGATTATGTTAATTTAAGACGTAATGTACTTTAACGATAATTGAATAAAGAAAATTGGAAAAAAAGAATTACTTTCATCGCTTTAATATGTATGTTAGTGAGTTTTGTTTTTTTATCCATACAAACTTACACAGACTTACAATTAGCTTGTGATATTATAAACTGTATATTACTTTACATCGTGTAACTTTTAATGAAACAATACTATGTAAAAGTAACACTATAAACATATATCAGAGGTAAATAACAGAACATATTCAAACTTTTGCGTTTAGATTTAGATGGTATCAATAACAAATAATAAATTATAAATAAAAATATAAATTTATTAATATTAATAAGAAATTGAATATGATTGATTGTAATGTTGAAAAATAATTATGTACAAAAAGCACAAAGGTTGAAATTATATAATGACAGACAACAAAAATATAACTAAGAGATATAACCTACTAGTGATGAAAACAGAGGCTAAAAGATAAAATCTTTTATGAACTTCGTTTAAAAAAATAATACGTAAAATATACGTAAATTGTCGATCAAGACATATTTCAAAATAAAAAATTATAAGATTTATAACAAAAGAATATAAGTACCAATATGATACGCATATATTACACCATCTTTAATACCTTGCGATCATTTTGCATCAAACAATATTGAAAATAAACTTGACTGTTGACATTACACGTTCATTGTTAGTGCAATAACTCTCTATGACACGAAAAAATCATTTCTCATAACCCTTTATAATATAATCATTCGTAGTCAACAAATGATATTTGGACTATATATATATATATATATATATATATATTAGATAGATAGACGGAGAGAGCAAAGTGAAGCCGAAAGGTAGGTATATTGGTGTAAATTCTGAATGTGACCTACTCTCTCTTTTCTTTCTCAGAAAGAAGCGTGCGTGCGAACATACTTAAATACATGCACGCGCAAACTAACGAATAAGAGATAGGCAGGTAGAGAACGAGAAAGAACGATTGAAGCTTCTCACTAAATGTAAGGATTCTACTATTTTCGTGGAGATCTTGAAGAGACGAAAAATCATTCATACAATAAACGAGGCCTTAACCTTCACAGCACTCCACTTACATACTAGTCTATTGTCGAAAGCCAACTTATTAAACGGCTGATCAGTCATACGATTTATTGTTACTACAGCTCCGCTTGTTCATTCTTTTTTAGTTTTTTCTTTATTCACTGATATAATCCAGTTACTACTTTTTATTTCTTTTCCCCCGATATTTAAATATTTTTATATTTCACTTCATTCCTTTAATTGAATAAATACATGAATTAATTAATTGAAACTTAAAAGTTTTATAAAAGTAAGTCTGTGAATTTAATTTAATAATTTCTTTTTAGTTCAATTTCTCTTCGAAATTTTGTTATAATTTATAAAGTAACTAAATGATTTACATTAATATTTAAACTAATATTTTCTGAAACAATCAAGTAATATAAATTTTATACATAACAGAATTTTAAACCATTTTCTTGAAAAATTGCAAGGTGAAAAAATATGCTTGTATAACGTTGAAAAAATAAGTTAATTACAAAATAATTGCATAATATTTTAATTACAGAAGTACTAAAAACATTGACCTGACGTAAATAATTAACTAATCGCTTTAACAAATTAAAAATTCTTTATTTTTTATTCTAAAATAACCAGCGTATTATGTATATCTTTTACAATATTAATTTAACAATTTTTCGCATTTTAGACATAACAGCATAAATGACGTGCAATTGTAACATGATCAGAAAATTTTTTACTCAAGTTGTTGAAAAACCGTTTGCATGCGGCAGCAGAATTTGTATTTGATAGAAACGAATTACTTTTCGAACCAAGCGAGTTTAACGATAAGGACAATATGTTTCGATTATAACTTGTGACGTACTATGTTTCATTTGTCATTCGTATAGGTCAAGTAACATATAAGGAAAGATGGAATGCAAATTCTTACGTCTTTAACAAGTAGCATTGTCTCAATGTGTAGTGCACTCGCGCACACGTAAACTACAGAGATTCAGTAAAAAAAATAAGAATGATAAGTCACAGATTACAAGTCTAAGTTGGTATACTAACGATGAAACGCCTAGCAATAAAATGATACGAAATAGGATAGCACAAATGGTTGATTAGTTGATGAATTTTTAAGCTCGTTCTTACGCTGAACATCATTGATGTTTTTTCTTCCATACATACGCATGAATTGTATAAATGTCAATTATTGCCTATCAGTCTGTTGGATGATATTCAATACCTCATTGTAGTTGAAAGTTATTTCTGACTAAAGGTCAAGATGTATAACAGTTGGTCTTTACATGTCATCATTTTATTTTTTATCCAAAAACTTCAGATTCTTAACTTTTTCATAAACAAACATATTAACAACAACAATAATAAATATATAAATAACATAAATAACAATAATAATAAAATAATAATAAAAAATATATAAACATAATAAATAACAACAACAAATCATAATCTTTAATTTAATGAAATCTCATATTATGGTACAACCTTTAATCACTTCGCACAAGAAAAGTATTTGTAAATTCAAAGTACGAGTTTAACTAAAGATCCTCACATCATTTTGATATCTCTACATTCTTAAAGAATACACTTTATATATGAACTAAAATTTATTGATTGCTGTTTTTATTTTATAAATTTATAATAATATAAATTAATAATTAATACATTAATGTATTTATTTATAAACTATTGTGGAAACCAGATTTTACTAGATGAAATCATGTATTGATAAATGTTTGACCTTTAAGCTTTTTTTATGCTCGTGCAAGTTTATCTAAAAGCACCTATCTATTGCACCTATCTAAAAAGATTTTTTATTCTTGAAGTTTTACTAAAATCTACTAAAAATTACTAAAATCATTAAATTAGAAATGTATAAACAATTATTGTCATCTTTACATTTATTATAATTTATAGTTCATAATAGAAATCAAATAATAATTTTATTTTATTTATTACATAATTATAGCAATATTTACCGAATAAAGTATGAATTGATAAACGCATTTTAAGCTAGGACATCATCCATCATTAATTTTGAACAAGTAAAATAAATTGTGAATAATTTATTTCCTAAATGCATGACAAAATTAAATTATTTAAATTTCATCATGAAACTTCTGATTAAGTTATATCATAACATTCGAAATACATTTACAGATATTGATGCAATATCTTTTTTTATTATCTGTACAATTTTAATTTTAATTGATGTATGAATAATTATATCTTAATCGTCTTAAATATATTACTAGTTATGAATAATGCTAGAAATGCACATTTGTAAATGATAACCTTCGTTAAATTGTTTTACCTAATGAATAGATATATTAATATCTATATATAAGCTATAAAGATAAAAAAAATCATAAATAAGTAAATAAAACCTATTAGTTTTATAGAGTTAAATTATTCTTAAAAATTCAATAGCATTGTAAGTAACATAATAATCACAAATAAAAATAAACACTATAATTTTAAACAATTCATTAAAATAAATACGAATATTCTTTAGAAGCACCAATTTTTAAGTCTTAAATATTTTATTGCTTTGAAATATTAACCAATTTTTGGTCAAAAACTTAAAAGAAAATAAAGAAATCTTTAGCTTAGTTATATAAAAGTAATATAATTATTAAATTTAAGTTAATGATTATAAATAATATAATTATTTTGTATAAGATTGATTTGATATTTAATATTTATTTTTATATATGAGTATACAAAACTATTTTGTTTTTTATTCTAAATAAAATTTCAAATAACAAAATCAGTCATACCTGTATAAACAATATTTTTACAGTATCTCTACTTTTATTCAATTAAAAAATTTCAAATAAACTCAACAACGATAAGTCAGTATACTTGTTAATTTTTCTAGTTGATAAGCGTTTGTTTAATAAAATGTTTCAATTGTTTGTATTATTTGAAAACAAGAATTTGCATTACAATGACATTTATATCCCATTCACTAAAATGAAATAATTTTCATATTACGTAGATGCGATATTCAGTATGTCTTACTTTACTAATTTGTATCTTTTTTTCTAACGAAAATGAACTTAACATAGTGTTGCGTAAATTGTACTTGTACCAGTCATTCGATTATTTTCTCAATAAATGCCATCTTAGACATTGCTAATATCAATACATAGACAATGAAAGTACATCGTGTAAATTATAATAAAATATTTAAATATTTACCTATAATCAAGATATATTTAGATATTATATTAGCAAGTTTTTAAAATATTATTCTTTATAGAAGAATCATTAATTCAAAGGTAAAACTTAAAATAAGTATAATTTATTTAATTACCAAATTTGTTAAATAAAATTAAATAAAAATCAATTATTCGCAAATATATAATGCGAAAATTGTTTTCGTCGATCTTTTTGTAACGAACGGGAATAAAATTAATACCAATAATTTTCAAAGGAAGAAAAAAACAACTTGGTAAACAATTCGATTTTATTTTTCATAATTGTAAATATAATTAATCTTCCCGTGAAACGAGTAAAAATTCCTTTCTGTTGAAAGAAATTAATTCCATAAATGTTTATCATCTAATCATTCATCTGATACAATTCGATTTTTTTATTTCAGACTATAAAAACAATGGATGGAAATTGAGGCTTTGATGAAATTAACGAGGGTGCACCATATTTAACATTAATTAGTTTTGTCAAACACTTCAAAAGTAAAACTTTTTAAGAAAGTTTATTACATTTATTTTCTAATAATGGATCCTTACTGTTTGAGGTAAGTTCGTTTTAGGCGATTATAACAAATCACAAAACCCGTCAGATTATTGCATTCATATGCTTTGAAAATAAAGTTGGCAGTCTGTTATATTACTACAATTTTTAATCCATTTTTTTATGTTTTTGAACCAATTGAGTAGCGGATAAATAATCTATTGCTCTATCGTTCTTTTAATACCTTCTTATTTAAAGCTTCTAAGTTTTATGTTTCTTTATAGATTATTATTATTTGCAATTAATTTAACAAATTATTTTTACAAACAAATACTATTTACATTTACATTAAATAATACAAACTTCATATAATACTATTATTTGAAGTGTAGAATTTTTATGTAATAAAATTGCGTAGGTTATTTATAAATACCTGAATTCAGAGTATTATAAATAACATATTGAAAAACGATAATATTTAAAGATTAAACTTTAAAAACAAATTAATATAATACAAGATGAAAAGAAAACATAAGAAATTAAATATTTAATATATTACAATTCTTGATATCGTAATAATTATATACCCTTTTACAAAATGTATAGGAATCGATATTAAAATTTTATAACAATTGATTAAACTTATTATTTCTTAATTTTTAATATCAATATAGTAGTTGTTATTCTTAAAATATTATCGTACATACATAGTATAGTTTTTTATTAATCTTAATTGTAATGAAAGTTAAAACATGTGATTTAACGTTCATAAAAATTAATATTTGTAAAAAAAAATAGTAATGTATAATAATCCGTTGTAAATACTAATTTACTTTAAAAATATTTGTAATATTAAATTTTTTTTATAAATTACAAATGATTTGTTAAAATAAAAAAATTTAAGTTATTCAAGGTTTCTCAAATATTTTAAAGATGTAAATTTAATCATCGAGAATAAATGAAAACTTTATTACACGAGCTTTCAGTCTTTTTTCTTGAAACTTAAATTTGTAATTTTTCAAATTGGATAAGTATTATATTTTATAAAGTAATTAAAATATCAATTACCTTTATATAATTATTCTTAATATAAAAATCAGTTCTACATAAACTAAGAATTTGAACAAAAATTTATTATTAAATTATTTTTAATGCAAAAATGTAATATGTTTGAATTTTACTTATAGATTTGACTACAAAATAATTTATTTAACTACATACATTTTTTATATTATGTATTTTTTAAATATTATACAATTAAATAACGATAACATGCATTTAAATTTAAATTAAATTGAATTTTATGAACATGATATCGACTTTATTTTTCTCAGTTTCAAATGTTAATTTTAAAGTTGGCATTATAAACTGATAACATTATGGTAGCTAATTTAAGAATAAAACCCATTTTTAGTATTTTATAGTTGATAGTATTATATTTTACTTATTTGACTATGTATTATAATGGGATATTTATGCACGATATAAATGGTATATAATTCTTGACTACTAGTAGTAATGTAAAGTAACATAATGGTTTTAGCACAAATCAACAAAATTTTAAGTGATAACAAATTGAACAAATTTAAGTTATAGCAAATTGGACAAATTTTACGACAATTAATATTCTTGATTATTCAATTCCTATGAATATTTAAATTTTTTTTTAATTTTCGTATTTTAAATTCTTCGTTTTTACAACTGCTTATTATTTTTAATTCTTATTTTATTATAATATTTAAAATCGTTACTAATAGTATGAACTAATTAAATTAATTTCCAGGACATTTATTCAGAATTTTGTTCTTTAGTCATTTTTATTAATTCATTTTACTTACTTTTAAATCCTGTCTTTGCAAATAAATAATGATATATTATACATTTAATATTTAATATTCGAAGATTATTTAATGTTCGAATAAGAAAAGATTACTTAATTAAATCCATATGATAATACTAATATATACATATAATTTAAATAAAGTTTGAAAATATTAGTAATATGATTATTAAATTTATTGTATAATTATAGGAGAACCAATCAGGAGTTAAAATTTTTAATTTTCAATATAAAAACTTATCAATTTTAAGAATTATAAACATTAATTTTGTATTCATAACTATGGTAATTCTAAAAAATATTAACATATTTTATAAATATGGAATTACTTAATATTGCAATCGGTTTCTAATTATTTAAGAAAATAACATACAAAATATAAATTATATCATTTATTAATTTTCTACCAATGCTTCAAAAATAAATTTACCAAAATAAAAGATTAATGTTAACGACAGTATTTTAAAATAAAAAAAATATTATTTAACTTTCACTTAAATTACAACCAATGGGTTAAAATATACATAAATTAGTGTTTAATTGTTTGCTGATGTTCAATTAAAATTTTCTTACATATTAGTAACTGTTGCGGTGTAAAATGTGCTAAAAGTAGTATTATTATATTAATTACATTAATTATACCATAAAAAATTGCACATATAAATTTGTTATTTTTTGTAAATTATATTGTTGTTTTATCAATGTTAAATACAATATTATTTTAAGAAATATACGTTTAGAGTTTTATGTTAATTAAAAAAACTTCATTCATATGATTTTAAAAGTAACTTTTAAAAATTATTTTAATTAAGCAATTTTTAAAAAATTGTATTATATATGTATTAATACAGAAACTTTAATATTCATATAAATTTTTAGAACTTTATATTACAATTCACATTATTTTAAAATATGAGATATAAAACAGAACTTTAAAAAAATTAACGTAAAATGTATTAAACTCTAATTTTAAATAAATTATTGAATATGACATTTAGCATTCTTATAAATTGATACTTTTTATTAAAATCATTATTTACAATTACTCATTAACAGTACAGTTTTAAGCTTACATTTTTTAGATTACCAAATTAATTATAAAAACGGTTATCTTCCAGTTTAATACTAGACATATTTAGAAAAGAATGATTTTTATATTTCATTTAATAAAAATATATTTCAGCATATTTTAACTTCAGTTTATCGATAGTAATGAAAAATTTTACTCTCCAATTATCTACTGCGTTTTGATTTTCAACAAAGTTTTGATTCTATAAACTTTTGAAATGACTACGCCAAATAAAACTTATATAAGTTAAAATTTATAGTATATGTCAACTTACTTTGATTTATCTTTTACAGAATATGCGAACTTTATGTACATTTTTTAAATTAATGTATCGATTTTTTTAGTAATTATCGATGAATCTATCAAGCTAATTAGCTTTGTAATATATTTGATTGAATTTATCCAGTATATGTAGCAAAATAACAAATGCGATTTTCTTACATTTATGTCTAAATATGAGTGCTAGCATTGATAACGTTTTTTATACCAAAGGATACAAGCACAAATCATATATAACAATAATGTTATAATCATATTATCGTATAATAATTAAGAAGTCTTCCCAGATTCTGCATGTAGTTGCTTGCAGTATTTTGTAATGTAACTCCTTAATCACTGATATCTAACATTTGATGAACTGTCTATACATCTCGGCTATGGTGCTATTTCTAAATTACGCAGTAATTATTTAGCCATTGTTTAATTTTTTTTAAGAAAAAACAATGTCATTCGATTTTTATTTAAGATCATGAGTTATGGTTAAAATAATTTTTAATACAAAGTTAAATTTCACTTAATTGAATTGAATTTTTTTTGTACTTGTTTGTATTAAAAATTTCTTAGATGTTAAAAATTTATCATCTATTATTCTAAAATTGTTTATAAATTAATTATATATTTTTTAAATTATATTATATTATTAAAAAATCCTACTAAATATTAATACTGAATTTCATCTTAATGCTATGTTAGCAAAAATGTTTCTTATTTAAGATCTGTGTTGTATGGATTTGATAAGAATTTAAGAATTTCACATTTTAAAGCATTAACATTGAAAAATGATTATTAACCGAGATTATTTTGTGACTCAATCAGTCTTAAAATACGAACATTAAATTTGTAAGAACAATCATATATACAATTCATTTTGCTTTATAATTTTTTAGAGAAATATTTTGAGTAGTGAAAAATTAAAAAAATTTGTTTAGAATTGTAAAAAATCTCTTCTTAAAAAGTATCTTTATTTTTATAACATATAATGTTGATACATTATATAAATAAATTGATTAATTAAAAAAAAAAATTTACTCAAATAGGTCTTATAGAATATCTTAATAATTAAATTACAATTACATTACAATTTGACAATAATACTATTACGTATACAAATTTATGAAACTTATAAAAACTACGAATTTGAAACCACCAAAATTGAATATTAATTTATAAGTATACCATAAATTCATTAATAATTACGAGAAATATATTCTTCAAATGTATTTCAATGATCAATTATTGAATTGTGATAGTGTTTAAAAAAAAATTTCTCAAATATTTAACCAAAATTCTAAATTTTTTTTTAAAAAAGATAATAATATTGAATTATGTCAAATATATATAGATGAGCTAAATCATTCCTTAAAACATTATCATTGATGAAATAGATATTGAGTATTGTAGGAATTTTTATCAATTACTGTAATATTGCATAAGACATGTCTAGAGATGTATGCAAAATATGATTATGCAATACACGATAGTATACAATATTTAATACTGATTATTTAAACATTGTAATGAAAGTTTCATGTTTGTAGATAACACAAATAAAATCTGACAAAATTGTTGTTTTAAGCATATCTAAATATTCTTATTTAATAAAAATAAGATGTGTATCATTTTTTATCAATTTTTGATTTTTTAACAATAAAATTAATATATACTTACAAGTATCGAATATGCTATCGACTATTTTTAAATTGAAAAAATATTTGTGTTGATTCTTCTTTATACTAAAAATATGATTTTGTACAAGAAGAGTATATAAATATATATAAATATATATATAAATATATATAAATATACAGCATAATAAATCATATAAATTTTCTAAGCCTTAGAGTTTCAAAATTATACATTTTTATCGTAATCCATATTTTATCATTAAAATTTATAAAAATTAATATCTGAAATAAGTGAAATATTAATTTGCATTAAAAATAAATTTAAAAACCCTTAAGCGAATTCATAATTCTATCAAGAAAAGTATTTTATGATTGATCTATACTTTACAATTCTAAATTGATTTTTTAAGGTATTTTTTATATGAAAAAATAGTTAGCCGATAGTTCAACAGAAATATAGAATTATGTGATAGAAGTTATAAACGTACACGCATTAGTGTTTATTCAAAGATAATTGAAATTAAGCTTTTAATTTAATTATCTTTTCCAGATGATACATCAATATTATCTAATAATATTAAACAATAAAATTTTGTAGATTTATACCATTTTATAATTATGTATAAGATAATGTTTTTCTTACAGCGTTGAGCGTGAGGCATCGAAAAATATTGAAGAAAATGAACGAGAATGTTTTAAAGATGCAATCGTTTCAAGTAGAAGTCTTAACAAAGGTTACGCTGAACCAACACGATTAAAAAATGCCATTCCAGAAGTAAATATGCTGAAGATATTAAGACTACAATTGCTAGTATACATTTCAGTTAACATTTATTTTTAGTAATTATATATTTTTATTAAATGGAGTATGTAACAGATATTTCTTCTCATTTAAATGATTCAAATTTAAGTGCAAGTTATTTTTCGTATATACAGAAAATTTTAATGCATCCATTTTATACATTTATAAGAAAGTTAGTTAAAAATGATTTTATTACATATAAATATTTTAAAGGTATCTTAAATATAACAGATTTTACAAAAATAAACTCGATTTCATTTTTTACAGATCGCTGCATGCATCATTGCAGCAACATTTCATATAGCCGTTGGGCTCAGTATGGCTTATTCGGCAGTCCTTATTCCTAACCTAGAAGATCAAAATTCAGAAGTTTATGCAACAAAAGTTGAAACTTCGTGGATAGGTAATTTTTCTCGGTCTAAACTGTTAATTAAGTAAAATATTATATCCATAATTTTTATATTCTTAAGAATGATATCATTAGTCTTTTTTGTTGACTTTTATTCATTTATAAAAAAGTTTATAATGTAAAATTTGTATTTTATTACACTTATTTTTAATACCAAATGTTTTAATATTTTTAATGTTAGGATTAATTATTTCTTATACAATATTTATTTCCTTCCAAAAAATGAATCTACTTATTAATATTAATATTAAACTCGTATTATATAAATTATTGGCCGTTATTGGTTTAATATTAACTAATATTTTTAAAATTTAAATTAAATCTTTATAACAATGTAAATGCTTTCATAATATTTGATTAAATATAAACACTTGCAGTAATTCATTATAAATAAATTTAAGAATATTCATTTATAATTATTTTAATTTCTTGAACAATTAGATATTTTTGCTTATTAGTTGATAGCATTTTATAATGAACAATAAAATATAGTAAACTAAATGTTATATATCATTTTTATACATATTTTTCTTGAAATTAAACATTTAAAAATTACAATTTTTATTATTTTTTTAATTAGATACAATTTGGGATTGCAAATAATTTAAATATAGATATATGATTTTACAAATATTTCAGCTATTTTTATATAAGCTTATATTGATTCGCTTAGTTAAAATTATTTGTATCTAGTTACCTTGGTGCAAGAATAAGTAGCAGGAAACCTAATTGCATATTAAAGTTTTATCATTGTATTATTATTTAACTACTCTACAATATAATAGGAAAGTATTAAATAGTACAGAAAGTTTTTGTAAATAATTATTGCTCTTAATAATAACAGAAGTTCAAAATTATATTAACCTCAAATAAATCCTTAATAAATTTAAAAATTGAACATGAAAGACTAACTGAAAAAAATTATTTTTCAACTAATCAATTAAAATGACTGAAAATATTAATACTTTTAACATTTTTTAGCAAGTATAGTGGTGGTGACAGCACCACTTGGAGCTCTAATTGGTGGTTTTTTCATGGAGACTTTTGGCAGATTACGTACACTACAATTTGGTGCAGTACCCTGTGTCATAGGTTGGATTTTCATCGCTCTGGCCCAAAATGTCCCAATGATTCTCATAGGTCGATTATTGGCTGGATTGGCTACCGCCCTTGCCACCTCACCAGCTATTGTGTATATCACAGAAGTTGCTCGGCCTGATCTCAGAGGCTCTCTCATCTCCTTTGGTCCAACTCTTGCCTCTTTTGGTATGGTACTCTCCTACCTTAAGGGTGCTTTTTTACCATGGCGTCTTGTTGCCTGGCTTAGCATCACCTATGGTCTGGTGCCAGTCCTCCTTGTGCAGTTTATTATCCCAGAGTCACCAGTTTGGCTAGTATCCAAAAATAGATTTGATGAAGCACGCACAGCTTTACAATGGTACCATATTTTATTAGTTGATGAGTAAATTGAGGAAGCTTCATAAATTGTCAAGCCCTTTAAATATTTAAATTAGTTTTTTTAAATTATTGCTTCAATATTTAAAAATCAAATTTGTTATAATAAAAAAAAAAAATTGTTTAATCTTTGATAATCTTATTTATGATAATTATTACAAAAAAATTATTAACAAATTGGGACTGAATTTTGTTTATCTTGTCTTTGGATCAAATTTATAAAAAATTTAATTTAAAAACATATATCAATCCTTATTAGAAATATTATATTTTTTAATTATTTCTTTAATTTTCTTGTAAGCTTTTGCAAAAACTATTTAAATATTCTTAAAAATTCATGTTTTTTTAAATTTCATATGTAAAAGCTATTGGTATACATAAAGATTATTATTAAAATTTCCATCAATATGAATCAACTAAAAATCATTGACTCTTTTTAGAATAAAATTCTATAAATTTTAAATATTTTTTAATTTTAGTTATTTTAGTTATCTTTAATTTTAGTCATCAATTTTTTTTTACTTTTATTCAATAAATTCCTTATTCAAGGAAAAAGTTGTCAAATAATATAAATTTGTATAAATATGCAAAACAAATAGTACAGCTATTTTATAAATAAACTATTTATAAATTTATTAAGTGAATATAAAATTTATTTACAAAAAAAAAACAATATGAATTTTTTGATACTAAATGACTCTTGTTCAATTTATAAATTTAAAGTATGACAAATTTCTTTTAAATGTCATTTTCAGGTTATACTGTTATTTACAAAGCTTTTAATATGGAAAATTGAATAAACCTTAAAAAATATTTTGTACCAAAAAGGCAAAATTAAAATTAAAATTGTTTGTACTATTTCTCTAGATAGTAAAGACAATTATAGATTGTATCATATTTGTACATGAATATTTCTAAAAATCTATAATTTTACACCTATTTGCACATTTATATTTTACTTATGATTTATTGATTAATTAAATATAATATAAAATATAATTTATATAATTATCTGAAACTTAAAATCTGTATTTAGTAGTTAAACACTAAATTTTTCATAATCCTTTATTAAAAACATTCTTTAGTTAACAATTCATTACAATTTTATTTTATTTCTCTTCCGTAATGTTCTTTCGAATTATTCAAAGTTTTCAAAATAAATATCATTTAATTTTAATAAATTAAGAATTTGCTGTTCTTTCTCAAGTTTAAATTATCAAAAATTAAATTTATTTCATGTGTATAGTATTATCTTAAAACGAATTTTTTTTAATGCTTCAAGAATACCAATTGTTCTAACAGAGATTATAAAATGAAGTATAGATTTAATTAATTTTTGTTGTATTCATAGGTTATACAAGTCAGAGATGGATGTAGGAAAAGTATCCACATCTGAAACTGCCTTTACAACAATTATGAAGGAAAATGAGATAAAGTTAAGTGAACAGCGTCGCAATAAACACGGAGGTGGTGCTATAGCAAAATTTCGCGCTCTCCTCAAGCCTACAGGATGGAAGCCCATGCTCATCCTGTTTCTACTCTTTCTCTTTCAACAATTTTCAGGAATTTATATTACCCTCTTCTATGCTGTAACATGGTTCGAAGAGGTTGGAGCAGGCTTTGATCCTTATATTGCTTCAATCCTTGTAGGCCTCACCCGCTTCTTCTGTTCGATGATCAATACTTGGCTACTCAGGAGATATCGGAGGCGAATACTCTGCATTATTTCATCACTTGGTATGGCTGTATGTATGACTGTCTCTGGTTACTTCACTATGAGGATTAATGACGGTGATAAAACTGGTAGTTGGGTGAGTTTAGTAGCTTTTTTTATATTAATAAAAAATTATGTGAAGATTTACCGCAACACAATTTTTATAGTTTTCATAGTTCCAAGATTTACTTTAAAATTTAAATGCTTAATCAATTTTGTATAATATTATTTATAATAAAATTACTTGATCTGTACAAATTTTAAGACTTTCTATTCTTTAAGAAACTGAAATATATTTTATTTAAATTTTTATGAGTTAATAAAATATAATAATTCGACTTACAGAAATACTTTACATTTAGTTTTACAGTTAGGAAATGCTTCAATTTTATAAAAAGCATCAATTAATTTTTTGAATATTTAAATATTTAAATTAAAAATTTAATTAATTATTGTATATATATAACAACCATGTATTAAATTGATTGAACTACCAATTTGTAATTATTATAAGTAAAAAATCAATTTATAATCAATATATAAAATAGAATTAATTATTGATTATTTTTAATTCAGGTTCCTGTTGCTTGCTTATTATTATATGTTTGTACCTCAATGGTGGGAATGCTAACTATTCCTTGGACAATGACAGCCGAACTTTTTCCGACAGAAATTAGAGGAATAGCTCACTCCATTAGTTATTCTATAGCTAATATACTTATGTTTGCAGCTGTCCAAAGTTATAGAAATTTAACAGAATTTTTAGGAGGTACAGTTGTTGTTTTTAAAAATTTGATTAACCATACCATTTTATTTCTAATAATAATAAGTATAAAGTAAAAATATTGGTATACTTAAAATAATAAATTCAATCGAAGAAATCAATTTGCTTGTAAGTTGTTTTTTAATAATTTATGTTAATATTAAAAATTGAATTGTTAGATTGATTTCAGAATTCAAAAAAGAAAAATTATTTGCCATATCTGTATAAGTAAATAAATGTATAATAAAAAAATTAAAATATTTCGTTAATTCGCTAAAGGTTCTCATGGGATTCAATGGTTCTTTGCCACAGTGTCAATTGGCGCGTCTATATTTGTCTATCTACTGCTACCTGAAACACATGGTAAAAAGTTGTCAGAGATAGAGGATTATTTTCATAATAATTTCTTGGCATGTGGCGTTAACGTTAAAAGTAAAAAACGCAGAATCAAGTATCAAGCTCAACAAAACACACAAACAGCAGCTTTACAACCGCTTAATTCGCCAAAAACCGCTGAAACCGCTTAAGCGACTGATAAAACATGAGTATTCTTCCTTATTAGTTTTGTATTTTTCATTATCTTTCATCTATTTTTTTTCTATCAGAATATTTCTTTACTCTACTTTATACTACATTAAATTATATAACGCACTCACAACATATGTGTACCTGTTATATAAATAATTATTTCGAAATTCACAATCAGATTGTGAATATTGATGTTAGGAAACAGAATATGATTTTATTTAAACAATGTTAGCAAACACAATTATAAGAATATCAATTTCAAATTAAATAAAAAAAGATATTCTTTTATATAGATTTAAATGAGCCTGTAGAAAGTACTTAATTTATTTTTACAAAGTTAATCCATTTTTACTTTTATTTTACATTTTATATTGTAGAAAAAAAATATGTAACTGTTATGTAAAAACTCACAATTTATTTTACTAAATGTCTACAATAACACTTAAAAATTCAAATTTCTTAATAGAAATTTAACAATCTATGATACAGAATCTTTTTAGAGATGACAAAAATGTTTGTTTATATATATTTCATTGACTCGATAAAATCTTAATGAATGTAAAAGAAATATACTTTGAGTAACAATCAATCAATATTTTAAAACTGAATGTTTGAAGTTTACCTTAAATTTTAAAAGATACATTTTTATACTTTTATTTTAATATATATGTAGAGGGAGGTATGGATGTATAAAACTTCATGCAAGCGTATAAAATAATTTATTTTACTTCTAATTCAATTCAATTTTCAAATTAAATTAAATTTATTTAAAAAAAAATCTTTCAAAAAAAATTCATTTTCTAGCATTCTATCAAATGTAAATAGAAAAATGCTTATATGTGTATAAATAAAAAGTAATAAAAGTATATTATATCTAACATTTTCATAATAAAAATTTAAATCTTAAAAACTTCAGTGACCCATACTTGATAAGCATTTTATATTTTTATCTTCATAATTTTTAAGCTAAATAAAATATATTTATTTATTTTTATATATATATTTAAAGATCAGATATTTTATCAATATCTTAAAATTGTTAGAAAAATAAATCACTTTTATTAAATAAAAATTGTATTATACTATCTAATCCATATCTGATTAAAAAATATTAATAAATTAATATATAACTTAGTATAACATATATATAATTAATTATAAAATACGTTTTTAATATTTTTAAAACTTGCCACTTGCCTATAGCAAACATTTGGACAAAGATTTTAATATTTAATTGGACCATCACATTTTCTTACTATGAAATATATATGTACATTTGTATTATATAATAAAACCAATGATTTAGATAAATTATAAATTTTTATTGAATTTATGTACAGGATAATTTATTTGAATAAAAATATATTTTCCTGCAGTATTTTACTATTTTAGTTAAAATTTATTTTTGAATAGATATATTACCTAACCTAGAAAGATTAATTGAGTAACTTTTGCATTAAAATAATTTCATTCACAAAGTTAATTTCACTAATTTATAAACATCATTTTACGATTTAAACATAATACTGATAACTTTCGTAAATAATTCAAGAAATTTAATAATAGAATTCTGTTATTAAAAACCAAATATCTATTTAAATTAAACAAAAATAGTTTATGGTATGCTGTTAAAAATTGAGCCTGAAAGAAGCAAAAATTAAAATTTTATAAATACTAAATTTTTTATTACATATATTTCAGTTTCAATTATAATTTCATTTTTTTAAGTTTATTATTATGTGTTTAATTCCATGAATATGTTATTTTATATATGTAATTAATTTCATAAAACAAAATTAAAAATTTTTAATGTTTTCTATTATTAATATATTTAATATATCAATAAATAATATATTTAAAAGCACAATAGTGCTTAGTAATTTACAATATAGATATATGAATATTATAAAACATTAACTTTTTACAAATAAATAGTGCCAAATATGTAATCACATTGTATTAAAAAAAATTTTTTCTCTATTTGTACATAGATTTTTATTAAATTTTCAATGAAGTTTACATAGTACTTAAAATACAAGACCAACTATAGTACCGTGTAGATTAATAACAAAATTACATTGTACATTAATAAAACTAATAATTTTTTTTATTAATCTATCATTAATATATATCTTTTCAGTAATATGTAAACAAATGTGTGTTAAATTTAAAGTAAATGTGATAAGTATTTGTGTTATTTCGTCCCAAATATTTAGCATATTTTTATATGAAATATTTGTTTAATTATGAATATAGAACAAATAAACATAATTATATATCTTCTTACAAATGTTTATTTTTTTATGCAAACACGGAATAAACTCTTGTATTTTTAAGTTTATTTTAACAGCTATATTTTTCCAAATTGAAATATTTCAATGACGTTAATTGTCTGGGATCAGACTGAAAACCTCGTGTTGATGTTGAGTGGAGGTGTTGCTGTCAAGTGGAGGAGGCAAATACAATTATTCAATTCTACAAATAGTATATCTTTATTTTTCCTTTATTAAATACAATAATGTAATAATAGTTGATAGTTATAGAAGTGTATAAATGGAGAGTATGAGTGACTTATGTATTAAGTTTCTTCAATTATTTTACACATATGCGTGATGAGCCGCCGCTGTTTATCTATGTTGACATATGTTGGGAGTTATACGTTTATTAATTTCACTCTTAAATTATGCTTGCACTAACACTTCTTGGATATCGTTTAATGTATTTTGATTGTTGTGGCATCACTATTGGTTTATTAGATTGCTTGTTACTTGATGATTAATTTGTATAGCTACAGTGAGGGATGACTGTAGTTTGAATGCTTGATGATAAAAAAGTGAGTCCGTTGTGATGACAGCGTAATTTATAACTAGCAAAAGAGCTGCGCATCAAGCGCTGCTCAAATATTTTTCGTAGAAGCGGTGCGACACCGGCAGTGCACTGGTGCCTGTTGCTATGCCGAATTATAATCGTATATACGAGTTTTCAGCATAGGAAATTTCTCGAATTCGCTATATTGTTTTGTTTTTAACATAATGTCCGGGAGCTTATACTTCTCCCACTTATGAATTCCGCTTTCAACTGTTTCAATCCCGAACATTAATAAATTCTTCATTATACAAATCCAATTCAATAAATAAAATTATTTTATAAATAATAGTATTTTAAATATTAGTATATGAAAAGTTTAAGTCATGAATTGCTTAAAAAATATTTAAATTATTAAAATTTTGATTTTATTTTTTTTTAATTCTCTGGAAATGAAACTCATTCATTTAATTTTATTTAAATGCTATATTATCCAACCGTTTAACAATTACAATGTTGATAAGATTAATATTTAAAAATTCACGTGCAAGATTATAGAATGCCTTTATTTTGTATAAAAATATTGTCAATATAAAAATATGAATAAAATAAAATATTCGTAATTACGTTAAGAAATAAAAATTACAATCAGCAAAGCAAAAAATATATTTTTTTAATTATATTGTTTAAATTATATTATTTAAATTATATAATTAAGCTATTATTTAAATATATCGTTGATTTGTAAATTAGCATTCCTGGTATAATGAATTCATACAAATATTTTTTACTAATATAAAAATTAATAAATAATCGAGTATAGAAACAAATTCCATAATATACTTAAGATTGTTGATATAAGAAAATTTTTACGTAATATAATTCATTGATATAATGAATTATTTTTAATATTAATAATTGTTTGTTTTTTATAAATCTGTAATATTCTTGTGATTTGTGGGGTGAGCTGTAGTGTACGGAGTGGTGGGAGGACGTCCGTGTGACGTCACTGCGGGCGTGCGTGAGCTCAAATGTAGTGCTGGTATTGTTGCACGTTCGTGTGCTCGATGTGGGCGTAAACCGCGGTGTAGAGATGAGATGTAAGAACAAGCGTCTGGTCGTATCTTATATGAGCTGGCGGGAACCGCGGTGTAAAGGTAAGATGGAAGAACGACCGTCTGGTCGCATCTTACTTGAGTTGGCAGGAACCGCTGTAGTAGTAGTCGTAAGAACGAGCGTTGGCGTTACTTATATGCGGGCGTAAACCGCGACTGTAGATTGGCGGTCCTGTCGTGATGGGTGCTTGTTAACTAGTAAGAAGTAGTAAGGAACGAGCGTCTGCGGTGCTTACAGAGGCGTGGGTGCCAGTATAGTTGTGGCATCGCTATTAGTTCCTTAAGTTGCTTAATGCTTGACATCCCAATGGCGATGGCAGGGTTGGATAGCGAGCCCGATGTGAAGAGTGCATGATTGATACTAGCAATAGGCAATCGCAAAACGTGCAACTCCTTACATATTCTCGTACGAACTGGCCGCGCCGATAGCGCATCGGTGGCTGTTACCATGCCGCTATTTCTCGTGACGTCAATAGGGCATAGCTTTGTAGGTTTCATTTGTTATTACTTCTCGGAATTATAGTCGTATATTAATATCTTCTATTGTCAAAATTGTATCACGTAACTCCTTGCAAAAAGCAGCATGGATTGCATTTATCAATTACAAGTATTAGGTCTGTATATAATCTTGATTTTTTTAAAGATAATAAATTAGTTGTAATTATTTGCTAATTAAAGAAGTTTGAATTAAATCAATATAAATATTCTATAATTTATCTAAATGACAGTGAATATAAATAAACATTAAATTTTCAAAGAGATATAATATGTACTTCACACTGTCAGAAACTGCAAAATCAATATAGATGTCAGAAAGCATATAGAACAGCGATCAGTACGTTATCGCAAATAGTAAATAGCAAATGTGTAAAATTTAAAGAGCATAAATACTTGGAGAACGGTGTTACTGAGCTTTCGTTTGTCTCGTTCAATACAGTAAGATTGTCTGGACTAGAACCTAGACTAACTAGACTAAAAACCTCCTTAGATGGTGTGTGGAGGTGTTGCTGGCAAGTGAAGGGACAGTGCAATTATTTAAGATTATCTTTAATGTTTATCTTTGTTTCTTTATTAAATATAATAATTAATTATGAAGTATAAATAATATAATAGATTAAATATAAAGTTCCCTTGATTGTTACGTATTATGTATGTATTATTCTTTTGTTGTATAATGAATAAATGCTATTTTAGCATACATTAAATTGTTGAGGTATGTTTTATACTTTGGTGCCGCGCCTATGATACGTCGGCTTAGTAGTATGGTTGATGCCGAGTCTATGATACGTCGGTCTTATCTGTAATATGTTTCAATAGTAGTATGTTGATG